TGTAACCAGAACAAAACAAGAACACTGGTAATTTGATGATGTGAATGGTATACAATCAGTGCTCCAGTCTGTGCTATATTGTTCTGTGTTTCTTGGGGTTTGTTTGTTGTTAGATGGAGTTTTGCTCTTGTTGCCCAGGCTGGAGTGCAGTGGCAAGATCTCGGCCCACGGCCACCTGTGCCTCCTGGGTTCAAGCAATTCTGTCTCAGCCTCCAGAGGAGCTGGGATTATAGGTGACCACCACCACACCCAACTGATTTTGTATTCTTAGTAGAGATGGGGTTTCACCATGTTGGCCTAGCTGATCTCAAACTCCTGACCTTGGCCTCTCAAAGTGTTGGGATTACAGAGGTGAGCCAGTGCACCTGGCCTGTTTCTTGTTTATTTATTCATTTATTCTATTTTATTTATTTTAGAGACAGAGTCTCTCTCTTTAGCCAGGCTGGAGTGCAGTGGCACCATCTCGGCTCACAGTAACCTCTAACTCCTGGGTTCAGGCAATTCTCCTGCCTCAGCCTCCCGAGTAGCTGGGACTACAGGCATGCACCACCATGCCCAGCTAATTTTTGGCCCAGCTAATTTTTGTATTTTTAGTACAGACTGGGTTTCAATACGTTGGCCAGGTTGGTCTCCATCTCTTGACCTTGTGATCTGTCTACCTTGGCCTCCCAAAGCATTGGGATTACAGGCGTGAACCACTACATCCGGCCTTATTTTTAATTAATTAATTAATTTATTTATTATTTTTGAAATGGAGTCTCACTCCTGTCACCCAGGCTGGAGGGCAGTGGTGTGATATGGGCTTACTACAACCTCCACCTTCTGGGCTCAAGCAATTCTCCTCCCTCAGCCTCCGAATAGCTGAGATTACAGGCCCAGGCCATCAAGGCCATCATGCCCAGCTAATTTTTATATTTTTAGTAGAGACGGGGTTTAACCATGTTGGCCAGGCTGGCCTTGAACTCCTAACCTCAGATGATCCACCTGCCTTAGCCTCCCAAAGTGCTGGGATTATGGGCATGAGCTACTGTGCCTGGCTATTTTTTTTTAAATTTTTAATTTTTTTTTAAAGATGGAGTTTTGGCCGGGCACGGCGGCTCACACCTATAATCCCAGCACTTTGGGAGGCCGAGGCAGGTGGATCACGAGGTCAAGAGATCGAGACCATCCTGGTCAACATGGTGAAACCCCATCTCTACTAAAAATACAAAAAATCAGCTAGGCATGGTGACGCGTGCCTGTAATCCCAGCTACTCAGGAGGCTGAGGCAGGAGAATTGCCTGAACCCAGGAGGTGGAGGTTGCGGTGAGCCAGGATCACGACATTGCACTCCAGCCTGGATAACAAGAGTGAAACTCTGTCTCAAAAATAAATAAATAAAAGATGAGTTTCACCATGATGGCCAGGCTGGTCTTGAACTCCTGACCTCAGGTGATCCACCCACCTCAGCCTCCCAAAGTGCTAGGATTATAGGTGTGAGCCACCTCACCCGGCCCGTGCCTGGCTATTTTTTACTTTTTTTTTAAATTAATTTTTTTTTAGAGACAGCGTCTCGCTGTGTGGCCCAGGCTGGAGTGCAGTGGCTGTTCACAGGCGTGATCCTACTACTGATCAGCAGAGGAGTTCTGGCCTGCTATGTTTCTGACCTGGGCCAGTTCATCCCTCCTTAGGCAACCTGGTGGTCCCCGCTCCTGGGAGGTCACCATATTGATGCCAAACTTAGTGCGGACACCCAACCAGCATAGCGCACTACAGCCCAGAACTCCTGGGCTCAGGCAATCCTCCCACCTCAGCCTCCCCAGTAGCTGGGACTACAGGCACGTGCCACCACACCTAGCTATTTTTTTTCCTTTATTTAATTTATTTATTTATTTTTGAGATGGAGTCTCATTCTGTCGCCCAGGCTGTCACAATTTCCACTTCCCAGGTTCAAGAGATCTCCTGTCTTAGTCTTCCTGGTAACCAGGATTACAGGGGCCTGCCACCACACCCAGCTAATTTTTGTATTTCCTAGTAGAGGGTTTCTCCGTGTTGGTCAAGCTAGTCTTGAACTCCTGACATCAGGTGATCTGCGCACTGTGGCCTCCCAAAGCGCTGGGATTACAGGCATGAGCCACCACACCCAGCCTTTGGGTTTTTTAAACCCTTCAAAATTAATCCAAGTGCACAGTACAGGTCAAAGTGCTGGGACCCTGGAAAAGCAAGTGGTTGTTGTGTCATGATTATTGTTTCAGTTTAGGTCTCCTTCCGGAGTTGTCTCAGGCCTCTGCCCACAGGGCTCCTAGTATATTCTCCTTTGCACTTTTCATATGAAAGCACATTAAGTCTTTCCTCTTTTACCCCCACCCGCCTTTGATGATACCTGTCTGGATGCTGTTACTTTTCTGATAAATCCCAAAGGCACCACCCATTGCTTCTACCAAGTCCCTAGCTCCACCAGCGCCTGGGGCTGGGCCTCCCTGGAGCATAGAGGGGATCCTGCCACTGCCCCTTCCCCACCTCACAAGGTTCCCACGTCTTCTCTGTCCCACCTGTAAAGTCTTTTAGGCTGACTGATGGCACTATGGACGGCATGGTAACCTCTGTGACCTGCACATACACCTCCAGATGAGTTCCTGGAAATAGAAAGTCTGAAGTAGCTGGAAAAACCACAAAAGGGAAGAAGGACCAACCCCTGTGGCGCCCAATTAACTTTGAGACAGTCTTCTATTGTTCCTTATTTGCATCCCAACTGATAAGTCAACTGGGCTTAGTACTGACCTTGGTCAACCTCCTGACTCCAGACCCTATGAACCCCTCCCAGCTTGCAAAAACCGCCCTGAACTGTAACTTCTGTAACTTTCCACTGCCTGCCCCAAACCTATAATATCAACTCCTACCCCACGCCCCTGAGCTGACTCTCTTTTTGGACCTCAGTCCACCCACACCTGGGTGAATAAACAGCCTTGTTGCTTACACAAAGCCTGTTTAGTGGGTCTCTTCATTCAGAGCAAGTGTTTTTTGTTGTTTTTTTTTTTTTTTGGAGACGGAGTTTCGCTCTTGTTACCCAGGCTGGAGTGCAATGGTGCGATCTCGGCTCACCGCAACCTCCGCCTCCTGGGTTCAGGCAATTCTCCTGCCTCAGCCTCCCAAGTAGCTGTTACTACAGGCACGCGCCACCATGCCCAGCTAATTTTTGTATTTTCAGTAGAGACGGGTTTCACCATGTTGACCAGGATGGTCTCGATCTCTTGACCTCATAATCTATCCGCCTCGGCCTCCCAAAGTGCTGGGATTACAGGCTTGGGCCGCCCAGCAGAGCAAGTGTTTTAACATCTTAACTGCTGCTATTTGCCTTTCTAGGGACCACTCCTTAGCCTCTACTCCCGCCTTGTACCAGGAAGGATTTCTGCAGGTATATGCCTAGTGCCTGCTCCTGGGTATACTCGTTTAGTATTTGAAATGCCCCCACATCCACTGGGCATGGATGATGGGACCTGTATTCCACACCTGGCATAATCCAAACGAACTAGGATGTGGCTGGGCTTGTGGACACAGGGACTTGAGTGTGACTGCCACAGAGGGGAAGCCTGGACGAAAAGCTGGCCTGGAAGTGATGGAGAAGGGAGGGAGGTCGGCACCCTGACTGAGATGGAATCAGGCACAGCTGAGGTCCTGGAAGATTCCTTGGTGGGAGCTGTCTGTTCTCTGTCTCATGCTGTCAGAGGGGCACTGCCTTAGCCAGCTGAGGAGGCCCAGTCACCCTGGAGCTCAATTTCTTCTGCTCCCTTCACATCTGTGGTCATTGTGCTCTCACAGTCTTCCCTCAGTGGCCAACATTTCCTATCTCAGGCCTTAGGCTTAGCCTGGAGTTTTTAATATTTGCACACCACATTGTCCCCCTCCCTAGCTTGTTAAATCTGTTCTCAGGTACAGGTTTATTCCTTAAAATGCCCCCACAAAGATAAAGTCTTTGGGTTCATATGTATATATACACACCCACACATACACACACACAGATATATATTCTTTTTGAGGTGGAGTCTCCCAGGCTGAAGTGCAGTGGCATGATCTTGGTTCACTGCAACCTCTGCCTCCTGGGTTCAAATGATCTTCCTGCCTCAGCCTCCCAAGTAGCTGGGACTTGGCACCCACCACCACACCTGGCTAAATTTTGTATTTATTTATTTATTTATTTATTTATTTTTGAGACGGAGTTTCACTCTCATTACCCAGGCTGGAGTGCAATGGTGCGATCTCGGTTCACCGAAACCTCCGCCTCCTGGGTTCAGGCAACTCTCCTGCCTCAGCCTCCTGAGTAGCTGGGATCACAGGCACGCGTCACCATGCCCAGCTAAGTTTTTGTATTTTTAGTAGAGACGGGGTTTCACCATGTTGACCAGGATGGTCCCGATCTCTTGACCTCGTGATCCACCCGCCTCAGCCTCCCAAAGTGCTGGGATTACAGGCGTAAGCCACCGCGCCCGGCCTAAGTTTTATATTTTAGTAGAGATGGGGTTTCACTATGTTGGCCAGGATGGTCTCCATCTCTTGACCTCCTGATTCAAGATGGAGTCTTGTTTATACAAGACAAAAACTGTTTTCCAAAAATAAGTTGTAACAGCCGACCCCCTCTCCTCGCACTAACTGCTGTTCTTGGCTTCTGTAAATAAAACCTGCTGGCTTGCTCTAAAATGACCTGCCTTTGCTTATCAGTAGTTACCAGAATTACTTCTGCTTATCAGCAAGTATTGAAAAGATGCTTGCCCTGCATCCCCTCACCCTAAACCCAGGATGTGGTTTTTCAGCTTAAATACCCTGCTCCCCCTGAGTTCGGGGCCTCGGGTTGGAGAGACATGAGTCCTCCGTGGTCACTGGCAATAAAGACCCTACAATTTGGCATACTTTTGTCTTAGTGATTATTTCAGTCTTGCATCCAATACTTCAGCATGAGCCACCACACCCAGCCTTGTGATAACATTTTTTTTTTTTTTTTTGAGATGGAGTTTCGCTCTTGTTACCCAGGCTGGAGTGTAATGGCGCAATCTCGGCTCACCACAACCTCCGCCTCCTGGGTTCAGGCAATTCTCCTGCCTCAGCCTCCTGAGTAGCTGGGATTATAGGCACGCGCCACCTGTAAAAACAAATAAATAAAAAATAAAGCCAACCGTGTCATCTCTTTCCTACCCTGAATCTGTTCCTTTCTGCTCTTCCCTGCTGTCAGAGCAGCTATTGTTTCCTGCTAGGACTCCTGCATTTGCCACCCCACTAGGTGCACTGTCTTCCTACAGCCCCTTAAACATGCTAATGGGACATAGCTTTCCCTCCCTCAACACACTGCAATCCTCTCAGCCCAAGGTTGGCTCATTTGTCTTGCCCAAGGGAGGGCCACCCTCCCTCCTCAAAGCCCTCCTGTACACCTTCCCAACTACCCTATGCTCTTCCCAAAACCCAGCCCAGTGAAAGCAGACTCAGTGGGCCCAGAAGGCCATGGTGGGAGTCTGAACAAAGACAATGATGGCTGGCTATTAGACTTGTATTCTAATGAGGTTTCCCACCTGGCACGTATTTTCCTCCCCCTGACCTCCAAATACCACATCAATAACACAGCCACCCAGTAGTTGCCCTGGGTGAGGGACAGGCATCCTGACCTTGTCTCTCTTCTGGAGGCTTTGTTCTAGTCATGCATTTGGACAGTTGGTTCCATCTTTCACTCCTGAGTCCCCTCTGTCCTCTAAGATAGGGGAAGTGAGAACTGCTCTCTGAGGAATGAGATCACGAAGTGGCCTGAAAAAGGCTGGGAAGGCACAGAAATGAAGCTTTCAGCAAAAGGGAAATGTGAGGAATGCGTTCATCAGATGGGAAACAAATAGTAGCATTTATTGGACTCTGTGTGGCGGCCCTGGGTCTCAGCAGATGTATTTGTTTCATATTGTTACTGTAACAAACTACCAGAAACTCCAAAGGTTAAAACAATATCCAATTATTAGCTCACCATTCTACAGGCCAGAAGCCCAAGTAGGTCTTCTGTGGGTCTCATAAAGTCTGAAATCAAGGTATGGGATGGACTAAGCTGCTATCTGGAGGCTCTGGGGAATAACTTGCTTCCAAGCTCATTCCGGTAGTGGGCAAAATCTAGTTCCATGCGCTTCTAGGACTGAGGTCTGTTTTCTTGCTGGTTGTTGCTGCTCTTCTCAGATTCCCAGCATGACACCTGTCCTGTTGCATTCCCTCTCATGGACCTCTCTACTTTGAAAGCCTCTGGAACCCTTCTCCTACTTCCTGTTTTAAGATCAACTAATGAATGCCGGGCGCGGTGGCTCACGCCTGTAATTCCAGCACTATGGGAGGCCGAGGCGGGTGGATCACGAGGTCAAGAGATCGAGACCATCCTGGTCAACATGGTGAAACCCCGTCTCCACTAAAAATACAAAAAATTAGCTGGGCGTGGTGGCGCTGCCTGTAATCCCAGCTACTCAGGAGGCTGCGGCAGGAGAATTGCCTGAACCCAGGAGGCGGAGGTTGCGGTGAGCCGAGATCGCACCATTGCACTCCAGCCTTGGTAACAAGAGCGAAACTCCGTCTCAAAAAATAAAATTAAAAAAAAAAAATCAGCTAATGATTAACCTTAATTATGTCTGCAAAAACCCTTTCACCATGTAGTGTAACTATTCATAGGTGAGATGATCCTATTTACAGGTTCTGGGGATTTGGGCACGGAATCTTGGAGGGGGCCATTGTCAGAATTCCGTCCCCCATAGCAGATTAACTTGCAATGTCCCAGAATCACAGGGTCTAGCTCGAGGGAGACACAGAGCCGCGCGAAGCAGTTGTCCGTTCCTGTCTGCGTTGTAGCGGACGATCCCACCCACAGCGGGCTGGCCAGGAGGGACTGTGGGGGTAGCTCGTCTGCGCCTCCTGACGGCCAGGGAGCGAGACCTAAATTCAGCTCTCACCCGTGTCACGGGAACAAGGCCACTTCCCCGGTTCGCAGTGGGGTTTCAAGCAGCCAGAAGAGGCTGGTGACTTGCGCCGGGAACTGCCTTCCGGTTCTCCATCACAGGGCGTCCGCGGATTGACCGCGCAGGCCCCGCCACACCCATGATCTCCCGGGCGACGCCGGAAGAGGGCTCTGGCCCAGAGATTCCTCGCGTCGCGGCAGCCCCGGCCTCTTCGACTTTGGTTCCGACTAAGAGGAGAGCCGGAGTGCAGACTGGCGGGAGCGGATCGCCGTAAAAATACCGGAAACGTGCTTCGGCCTAGGGTTTCCCCAGCGCCGCCGCGGCCGCGGGCTTCGGTTCCGTCGGCGTCGCGGCCCGGAAGTGTGGCCTTGGAGTCGGTGGCCGCGGCCGGGCCTGGTGCCTGAAGGGGAGTCGGAGGTAGGGTTGGACGGGCATCCCACTGCCACGGCACTGCGGAGGAGGCTGGGGCGTGCCGGGGGAGGGGCACCTGCGCTCCGTCCGAAGCGCACGCCGCGAACGCGAGGGGGCGCTGCAGGACCGGGGTACGGCGCGTTCGAGGGTGGGGGGTGGCCGCGGGGTCACAGGGGTGCTTCGGGCCTAGGGTGGGGCAGAGGATGGGAGAACGCGCTCGGAGTCAAGCACACCGCGCGGAGAAAGCGCGGCGCCGGACCCGGGAAGCTGGCCTGGGCGCCGGGTCTCGGGGGTGGGCCTTTGTTCTGAAGGGTCCAGGCTGGCCCTGCTGAGTCGGGACGAAGGACTCCAGCCCGCCGCGGGGCGGGGCGGGGCGGGGCGGGAAGGAACGTTCAGGTCCCGCGGGCTCATGCGCAAGCGTCCGCCCCCATCGCCCGGACACGGATTAGAAGCCTTGCAGGTGCCGGGTGAATACAGACGGGGCGGGTGCTGCTTGCTGAACTGGCCTTTGCAGGGGCACAGGCCTGCCTTTTCTGAGGCATTGTACGGAGGGCTCCGAGCGGGACCCGGGGGCGGGGTGGTGTGTCCAGATCTGCAGTCTGGAAAGGCTCCCTCTGGCTGCCGTGTGGGGAATAGAAAGGGAGGCGAGGGCGCGGAGGCACCAGCCGGGTTTCTTCATCCGTCCAGGACAGCGGGAACTGGGCAGTGGAGGTGCTCTAAGTGGTCCGAGGGTCAGATGTGGGGCATGCAGGAAAGAGAGGCGTCTGGCTGAGCAGAGGGACAGCGGATTGGGCATAAGGAGTCAGACGGGTTGAATGTTGAGACCCCAGGAGAGCCCGAGGGTGTAGGGGCAGCATCAAACCGAGCTCACTCTGGGGCTCTGTGACCCCACAGGAGAGACAGGCTGGTGGATCCTATACGGATGTCACAGTCCAGAGCTCCTGCTCTTCTCCCTTAGACTGGAGGTGTGAGCAATCTGGGTGCAGGATGAGCCGAATGTCATCCCTTGTTTGTTTGTTTTTTTGTATTTTTAGTAGAGACGGGGTTTCACCATGTTGACCAGGATGGTCTCGATCTCTTGACCTCGTGATCCACCCGCCTCGGCCTCCCAAAGTGCTGGGATTACAGGCTTGAGCCACCGTGCCCGGCCCATCCCTTGTTTGATAGAAGGGGAAACAGGTAGAAGGATCACGGGTTTACCTCCTTGATGGAAGGAGTGGCAGAGCTCTTCACATTCCAGAGTCCTCTGAGGACTTCTCCGGCCCCTTTCTGGTGCCTGATGGTGGTGGGCCGTGTCCCCGCTTGCTCCATTACCTTTCCAGTCACACACCCTGCTCATTCCACACTTCCTCTCTGTGCCACACCCACGCTCTGGGCCCCACAGGCTCCAACGAGATGGCAAGAAAGCTGGGGCTGTGGGAGGCACCTCCCTGCCTGCTATGCTAGGGTCTGCCAGGGACCACCTGCTGGTTTCCCTGGGACATCTGCCAAGATAATGTCCAACCTTTCACCCTCAGCCCTTAGTGACCACGCATATCCAGAACCACTCTGCCCAGGAAGCAGGTCGTGCCATCCCACTCCTGCAGAAGCCTCGTATATACTAGTTAAGGTGACCTCCTGGGGCAGCAGTCCTGCGTGTGCACAGGGTGTCATGTTGGGGGATATGGCTAAAGGAAAACAAACGGAGCTGCCAGAAGAGGTGGGGGAGGAGGGGAAGCTAGCTGGGTAGAGAGCAAGGTCTACTCTGGGTGAGGCAGATTAGCCAGTTGTGATGGGGGGGTCCTTGGCCTCTTGTACACACAGGGCTGCCCTCTTGGAAGAGCACATGCGGAGGCTTAGGGTTATTGGAATAGGGTTGAGGTGGGTGGGTAAGTCAAGATAGAGTAGGCCAAGCCGTGAACGTTTTTGGGGGCAGTGAGCAAGGCTGGGATAGGGGAGACCTCTCATATCCCCAACACCCTCTCCTAGGGGTGTGCTGGGGTTTGCTGCGGTGATGGGGATCGTAGAGGGCCTAGCTAGAGCTGAGCTGGGGGGAGGTGGAGTGTCCTGTGCTGAGAATGGGAGCTGTGAAACGCAGCTGGGGAAGGATGGGTTGGGGAGGCCTGGGAGTGTGGTGCACTCTTCAGTCCTGTCCTGCAACAAGGAGTGAGGGGACAGGGACTCTGGGACAGAGGAGGGTCCTCAGTTGACCTCTCCCTGCCCCCCTCTTATTTTGTGCAGATGGCGGCTGCAGAGGCTGTGCACCACATACACCTGCAGAACTTCTCACGCTCTCTGCTTGAGACCCTCAATGGGCAGAGGCTGGGTGGGCACTTCTGCGATGTGACTGTGCGCATTCGTGAAGCTTCGCTGCGGGCCCACCGCTGCGTGCTGGCAGCGGGCTCGCCCTTCTTCCAAGACAAGCTGCTGCTGGGCCACTCAGAGATCCGTGTGCCTCCGGTGGTGCCGGCGCAGACAGTGCGACAGCTAGTCGAGTTCTTGTACAGCGGTTCGCTTGTCGTGGCACAGGGTGAAGCTCTGCAGGTGCTCACGGCTGCGTCGGTGCTTCGCATACAGACAGTAATCGACGAGTGCACGCAGATTATCGCACGCGCTCGAGCCCCGGGCACCTCTGCACCCGCGCCCCTGCCCACCCCTGTGCCCCCGCCACTCGCACCTGCGCAGCTTCGTCACCGCCTGCGCCACCTGCTGGCTGCGCGCCCCCCGGGGCATCCCGGTGCCGCGCACAGCCGTAAGCAGCGCCAGCCAGCGCGTTTGCAGCTGCCTGCTCCCCCGACACCTGCCAAGGCCGAAGGGCCTGATGCTGACCCCTCACTGTCCGCGGCCCCTGACGACCGAGGTGATGACGATGACGAGGAAACCGACGATGAGACCGATGGCGAGGACGGCGAAGGTGGCGGCCCGGGTGAGGGCCAGGCACCTCCTTCCTTCCCAGACTGTGCTGCCAGCTTCCTCACTGCTGCTGCTGACAGCGCGTGTGAGGAGCCCCCTGCACCCACTGGCCTGGCTGACTACGGTGGTGCGGGGAGGGATTTTCTTCGGGGAGCTGGGGCAGCTGAAGATGTATTTCCAGACAGCTATGTATCCACTTGGCATGAAGAGGATGGCGCTGTCCCCGAAGGCTGTCCAACCGAGACCCCTGTCCAGCCTGACTGCATACTGGCTGGACCCCGCCCACCTGGTGTGAAGACCCCAGGGCCACCCGTCGCACTCTTTCCCTTTCACTTGGGTGCTCCTGGGCCACCTGCACCACCCCCTTCAGCACCATCGGGGCCAGCCCCTGCGCCCCCACCCACCTTCTACTCCACACTCCAGCCGGAGGCAGCACCCAGCACTCAGCTGGGGGAGGCCCCAGCTCCCTCTGCTGCTCCCACCACGGCCCCCTCAGGCACCCCTGTTCGCACCGCAGGTGCCGAGCCACCTGCCTATGAGTGCAGCCACTGTCGAAAGACGTTCAGCTCCCGGAAAAACTACACCAAGCACATGTTCATCCACTCGGGTGAGCCAGGGCGGGAGAGGAAAGGGAGGAATTAATCTCTCATTGGAGTTAAACCTGAGGGGGAACTGAGCGCTAGGTACAGGGCGTTTGCACTGTTCTGTTACTTCCGGGTGAGCCAGGGCGGGAGGGGAGAGGGAGCAATTAATCTCTCATTGGAGTTAAACCTGAGGGGGAACTGAGCGCTAGGTACAGGGCGTTTGCACTGTTCTGTTACTTCTGGGTGGCAGGGGGCCTGGAAATTGAGCCTCCCCCCAAGTGCAAGGCCTGTGGGGGAGGGGAAAGGCCCGCTGCTATGTGGCAACAGTGGGCAGTGGCTTCTGTGGAGGGGGATCCTGAGGCTGGCTTGGGAAGCAGGAGCCTATCCTAGCATTTGGAAGGGTGGTGGTGGAGCCTTTAGCAGTCTAGGATGGGGATGGAGCCTTGGCAGGGGGTCCTGGCCAGGCTGGGAAACTATGCTTCCAAGGAGCCTCCTGTGTCTCCCTGGTTGCCAGCAGTCCCGTTATGGGCTGGCAGAAAGGGAGGGTGGATTTACTGAATCACGGTAGAAAGCCCTTAGAGAGGTGGGGGGATGAAGGCCCCAGGAACTCTTGAGATTGGGGCAGGAGAAGGAAAACATGCCTGCAGTGTGGGGACCCCTCAACTGCAGTGAACAGCCCCCGAAAGCTGTGGGGAGGTTTCCTCAGACCTTGGCTGTGTCAGGGAGGCTGTTCTGCAGGGCTGTCGGAGAGGTAAGGAGTGTGAGGATGGTACTTCGGAATGTGGTAGGGGTGCTCCCTGGGGGCTTAGGTGGAGGACAAGGGAATGGAAAGCAGAAGCCTGCTGGGCATTGTCAGGAGAAGCAAAAATTTGGCTGGAAGACCACAGTGGGAGTGAGGGGGGTTTCTTCAGGGGCTGGAACTTGGGATTTACTGCGAGTGGTGGGGAAGCCATGGTGGTCTAACCTGGGGAGTGACTGAGACGTCAGTTTAAAATCACCTCTGGCGGGCCGGGCGCGGTGGCTCCAGCCTGTAATCCCAGCACTTTGGGAGGCCGAGGCGGGTGGATCATGAGATCAAGAGATCGAGACCATCCTGGTCAACATGGTGAAACCCCGTCTCTACTAACGATACAAAAAATTAGCTGGGCATGGTGGCGCGTGCCTGTAATCCCAGCTACTCAGGAGGCTGAGGCAGGAGAATTGCCTGAACCCAGGAGGCGGAGGTTGCGGTGAGCCGAGATCGCGCCACTGCACTCCAGCCTGGGTAACAAGAGCGAAACTCCGTCTCAAAAAAAAAAAAAAAAAAAATCACCTCTGGCTGCCTTGGGGACAATGGGGAGAAGCCAGGGGCCTGGGAATAAGGGAGTAGGGTGATGTGTGATCTAAGGCAGACGCCTGGGCCTGGTTAGTCTGGGGGACCCCCTGGCAGGCATTGTCTTTAAGTCCTCTGCCACTCAGAGAGGCATTTTTTGTTTTGAGAGACCAAGTCTTGCTCTGTTGCCCAGGCTGGAGTGCAGTGGTGTGATCTTGGCTCACTGCAACCTCTGCTTCCTGGGTTCAAGTGATTCTCGTGCCTCAGCTTCCAGAGTAGCTGGGATTACAGGTGGGCATCACCACACCCAGCTAATTGTTGTATTTTTAGTAGAGATGGGGTTTCACCATGTTGGCCAGTCTGGTCTGGAACTCCTGGCCTCAAGCCATTACCCGCCTTAGCCTCAGAAAGTGCTGGGATTACAGGTGAGAGCCATCATGCCTAGTTGGGATAGGCATTTTGTTAACACCTAATGAATCTAGGGGCAGACCCAAGCTGCTCCCCTCCTTAACCCAGAATGAGGAGCTCTACCACACCAAGGACATTATAGTGGCTAGCGGGCAGGGGTTCTGGGCAATGGGGGCGACCCCCGGAAGGTGGCAGATGTGCCCAGGTCCCTCCTATGAAAGGGCACCGGCCTTGTCAGACTGAGTTTAGAAGGCTCTATGGGCACGGGGCCAGGCCGAGTGCTCCCTGTGCCAGATGGGTAGGGGTTGAGGGGGAGGGTCCCTGAGGGTAGAGGAGATCCCAGTGGGCAGTGCAGATGGGCAACTGATGTTCCAGACGTGCTGGGTTCCTTGCTTGAAAGGTACTTGCTGGATTTAGGGGAGCCCTGTCAGTGGTATCCCAGGATGACAGAAAGGGGGTCTCTGCCAGGAAAGGGTGGGAAAGCCCAAACGTGAAGGGAGGTCCTGGAGAGGAGGGCTGTCCCTGCTGGGCAGGAAGATCCTATAGTGAGGGGAGGGTTCCCTGACAAGGAATGCCGGGGTGGTGGTTGGGGAGTGGAGGGGAGCCCCTGCCAGGTCCAGGCGCCCAGGGTGGGAGTGGGGTAGGGTGGGGAGGGGAGCTGTAGAGTCTGACTTGCGTTCGCGGCCCGCCCTGTCGTCCTCAGGGGAGAAGCCGCATCAGTGCGCCGTGTGCTGGCGATCGTTTTCTCTGCGTGATTACCTGCTCAAGCACATGGTCACGCACACCGGCGTGCGCGCCTTCCAGTGCGCCGTCTGCGCCAAACGTTTCACGCAGAAGAGCTCGCTCAACGTGCACATGCGCACTCACCGGCCGGAGCGCGCACCCTGCCCCGCCTGCGGCAAGGTCTTCTCGCACCGCGCGCTGCTGGAGCGCCACCTGGCCGCACACCCTGCGCCTTGATGGGGCTGGGCCTGGCCTCGCCCACGGTGGATCCGCGGCCTCCCGCACAATCGCCCACGCCCGCTGTGGGACGCGTGGTTCCCGCCACTAGGCCACGCTCCCTTCTGAACCCAGATCGTCTCTCCCTTCACCCCTTTCTCCATGCCAGGGCCCAGGTGGTGCCGGGCTGGAACCCTAGTTCCAAACTGGTTAGGTACCAAACCACCTCTGAGAACTAGACCATTTTGAGCCTAAACCGGGCGCTCAGGCCCTTGGACCCGACCCAAGATTTGACTCCGGTTTCTGGCCCCGGCCTCTTCTGGGGTGGGGTTGGGGGCTGAGTCCACTCCCCTGCCCCACTGTTAGGCTGGGTGAGGTCCCTGGCTCTGTACCCAAGCTATCACTCCCTCATGGAGCACCTAAGGAGGATCAAGTGGACCCTTCATATATGGAGGCTGGGCCTCAGGACCCTCACTCAAATAAAGGACTGTAGGCCATGGGGCCTAAACCACGAAGCTGTGAGCACCTGGATCAGTGCGCACCTTGCCCTCATAGACAAGCTGTGGGTGTCAGGGCTTAGTGTCCCTGTTCTTGGGCGGCATCCACGCCACCCACAGGCTCTCCTGGGCAGGGACAGGATGACTTTGCCATCTCTGACCTCTATCCTGTAGAGGATAGGGTGGGCTGCATATATAACCGGCACTTGGTTCTGTTGAAGCCCTTGGTCCTGTGGGGAGGAAGACAGGCAGGCCCCATCTGAGGTGGGCTTCCCCTCCCCCACTCTAATGGACACGGCTGAGCACCTTACTTGTGGGGAGCCCAAGGGCAGTTAGGGACACCACCGCTAGTGGCCAGCCAGTGGCCCAGGCTCCTGCATCCAGTGCAGAGAGCAGCCACTCTGCCCCCACCCTTCTTCAGCACATTAGTGGCTCCTAGCCCAGGTCCCCCGCCCTAAGGATTTGGAACTGGTGGAGTGGGGTAAGGCCTGGAGGGCCATGCCCCAGCCTGCCCTGCCAGACTCCTAGGCCAATGGTAGCTCCTCTGGGTTGACCTGAGACTGCCTCCTAGACGTGAGAGACCAGGGCTTTGACGATCCAACTTGCATCATGGGCAGAGTTCAGTCTCCTGAATCCCAGGACTCCATCAAAGCCAGAGGTGGGGCAGAGTCACAGAACCAGCACATGGGTGGGGGGCAGAGCTGGGTTTGAATCCAGGCAATGCAGTGTTCCTCTCTTTACTGACCACTTGCTGTATGCCTAGCAGGAGGCTACAATTCCTGGGATCATGGGACAACAGGCTAAGTCTGGCAGAGTCCCTCTCCCCAAGGGTTAAGTAGGTGCCACAGGAGGACCTCCTAGTGAGAAAGGCTATGCTTGGGGAGAGGCCCACCATGCCGTCCTGCTGCTTTTGTTTGGCCTGAATGGAGTTTTCCCAAGGGCAGGGATTTTTGTGCTCTGAGTGCCTGGTATGCAGAAGGGATAGGAGGAGAGGGAAGGGAGGCAGATGCCAGCCCTGGAGGGTGCATGGGGCAAGCATAACTGTGGGAGGGAGGCTAGTGGTGGGGCCCAAGGGGCAGACACCTGGGAGCTCAGAGGCTAGTGATGGAAAAGGGTCACACCTGGCAAGGGAGGAGGGGGCCTGTTGTGGGAATCAGGAGCCTAGAGAGACCAATGAGTGGAACAGGAGGATTTTATTAAGGTGCACTCCTGCCCGCTGCATTAGCATCCCAGGCTGGCCTCCGTGACTCACACCTGTAATCCCAGCATTTGGGGAGGCTGAGGTGAGTGGATTGCCTGAGGTTGGGAGTTCAAGACCAGCCTGACCAACAAGAGAAAACCCATCTCTACTAAAAATACAAAAATCAGCTGGGGTATGGTGGCACATGCCTGTAACACCAGCTACCCAGGAGGCTGAGGCAGAAGAATCACTTAACCCATGAGGCAGAGGTTGTGGTGAGCCAAGATGGCGCCATTGCACTCCAGCCTGGGCAACAAGAGCGAAACTCTGTCTCAAAAAAAAAAAAAAGTCCCCAAAACGGACCATCGAACAAAGATAGGGCTTGACTTTTATACACAAAATGCAGGAGCAGAACAAAAGCAATTCATGACACATGACAGGTTTATAACTCAAGCTTACACATGACTTTTTTTTTTTTTTGAGACGGAGTTTCGCTCTTGTTACCCAGGCTGGAGTGCAATGGCACAATCTCGGCTCACTGCAACCTCCGCCTCCTGGGTTCAGGCAATTCTCCTGCCTCAGCCTCCCAAGTAGCCGGGATTACAGGCACGCGCCACCACGCCCAGCTAACTTTTTGTATTTTTAGTAGAGACGGGGTTTCACCATGTTGACCAGGATGGTCTCGATCTCTTGACCTCGTGATCCACCCACCTCGGCCTCCCAAAGTGCTGTGATTACAGGCGTGAGCCACCGCGCCCGGCAGACATGACTTGCTGTGCGGCCCAGATGACCTTTATAGCGGTTGCACGGCTCATCTTGCATCCTTCGCTATGGGGCCTGGATGGCTGCAATCCAGGCCTGCTTAGACATGTCACACACACTGATCTGTGTTGCTCATATGGAAAACAGAAACTTACAGTTATCAGCTATAGAGAATAAGAATACAAGAATCTATACACTTATAAAACTTGCAGAGCAGTTCCACGGGAAGGGGTAAGGTCTCAGGGAAGTTTGCTTCTACCTAAGAAGGAAAGTTTGCTTTTCTGCTCCTATCTCCGGCATCAGGCTGATGAGGGTGGCAAGCAGGCAGAGAGGGGGTGGAGCCATACACAAGACCATGCAGAGCAAACAAACATGTAGAGGAGAAGGGCTGGGGGCAAAGTCCTAAGGAGAGGAGCAGCCACTGTCAGCAGTGCCAGGGCCACCACCCCTGGGGAGGAGCCATTGTGCTACTCTGAGAAGCCAGGGGCAAGCCTGAACATTCAACAGCTGCTGCTCCTAGAGAGGAGCTGGTACCATGGGTGTCAGGCGACGACTGGCCTTGCTGCTGCTGCTGCTGCTCCTGCTCTGGGGCCTGGGGCAGCCAGTGTGGCCAGTGGCTATGGCCCTGGCCCTGCGCTGGCTCCTGGGGGATCCCATGTGCTGTGCGCTACTTGGCCTGGCCATGCTAGCACGGCCCTGGCTCAGCCCCTGGGTGTCCCATGGGCTGAGCCTGGCAGCTGCGGCCCTGGCGCTAACCCTGCTGCCGGCACGGCTGCCCTCGGGACTGCGCTGGCTGCCGGCTGATGTGGTCTTCTTGGCCAAGATCCTCCGCCTGGGCCTGAATGTCAGGGCATGCTTAGGCCGACAGCCGCCTTACACCTTTGTAGATGCCTTTGAGCGACGAGCACAAGCGCAGCCTGGCAAGGCAATCTTGGTGTGGACTGGGCCTGGGGCCGGCACAGTCACTCTTGGCGAGCTGGAAGCCCGGGCCTGCCGGGCGGCATGGGCCCTGAAGGCTGAGCTGGGTGGCCCTGTGAGCCTGCGTGCCAGGGAGCCTGCTGCCCTCCTGGTGCTGGGTTCCCAGGCCGTTCCAGCCCTGTGTGTGTGGCTTGGGCTTGCTAAGCTGGGCTGCCCAACGGCCTGGATAAACCCACATGGCCGGGGGACACCCCTGGTGCATTCTGTGTTGAGCTCTGGGGCCAGGGTGCTGGTGGTTGACCCAGGTGAGGGCCTTGGAGCCAGTGGAGAATGGAAGGGGACAAGGGCTGGGATCATAGGACAGGGTTCCTGGTGGCACTGGCAGAGGCACATGCTCCCCACCCACCCATTTTCACAGGCAGTTAGAATCAAGACTTATGAGCAGAAAGTAGTTCACAGGTCACCAGAGGTTAATTTTCCCACAATGCTATTTCAATCCTTTTTGACCGAAAATAATTAATGATGGGATTCTTTACCAAACAATATGGACGTTTTTGTCTGCGAGCTGCTCCTCTGCCTATGTCTGTGGGTGTCAGATCCTGCCTCGTGAACTCTAAGGTAAGCCTTGCCTCTCTTTCTCCTCTGACCCATCCCTGCAGACCTCTGGGAGAGTCTGGAGGAGATCCTTCCCAAGCTGCAGGCTGAGAACATCCGCTGCTTCTACCTCAGCCATACCTCCCCTACACCAGGGGTGGGGACTCTGGGAGCTGCCCTGGATGCGGCGCCCTCCCACCCAGTGCCTGCTGACCTGCGTGCTGGGATCACACGGCGAAGCCCTGCCCTCTTCATCTACACCTCAGGGACCACTGGTGAGGGTGCCCATCAGCCCTAGCACCAGCCTCTGAACTCTCAGGCTGACCTGAACCCACACGTGACCTGTGCCTCTGTGTTGACCTCTGAAACCACTTTACCCTCTGTTTTTTTTTTTGAGATAGAGTCTCTCTGTTGGCCAGGCTGGAGGGCAGTGGTGTGATCTCAGCTCACTGCAAGCTCCACCTCCCGGGTTCAAGCAATTCTCCTGCCTCAGCCTCCTGAGTAGCTGGGACTACAGGCATGTGTCACCATGCCTGGGTAATTTTTGTATTTTTAGAAGAGATAGGGGTTTGCCAAGTTGGCCAGGCTGGTCTCAAACTCCTGACCTCAGGTGATCTGCCCGCCTCAACCTCCCAAAATGCTGGGAATTCAGGAATGAGCCACTGTGCCCAACCTTGATTTTGACATTTGGCCTGAACTCTGACCCCCAATGTAATTTGAGCGGTCAATGCCAGAATTCTTCCTGTGTCCGGTAAACAGCCACTGAAACCCTTGGTCTTGACACACTGCTCTCAGTTCAGATTCAGCCTGTGAACCCAACTGCAAATACTTACACTTGACTGCTCTCCGTGAGCCTCAAAGCCCAGTGCAGGCCTGGCTGCTGGAGATCCGTCCCTCTGGTCAGGCCCCTCTCTGTGCTGTAATTTCACCGCAACTACCCTTGTCGTGCCTTCGCCCCAAGGCCTCCCGAAGCCAGCCATCCTCACGCATGAGCGGGTACTGCAGATGAGCAAGATGCTGTCCTTGTGTGGGGCCACAGCTGATGATGTGGTTTACACGGTCCTGCCTCTGTACCACGTGATAGGACTTGTCCTTGGGTTCCTCGGCTGCTTGGATCTTGGTAAGCCCACCTCTGAGGATCCCTCCAGTCTACAGGACCACTGGAGTAAGTGTCAGGGTAGAGCTGTCAACGTAAAAAGACCCTGTAGGTTACCCAGCAGCCTGCGATCTCACTTTTGAGAAGGGACATCCATCCATGAGTACCCGGGCCGCATGGACAGAAACTTGGACACCCACACAGTCCCTAATGGCTGTGGTTTGGTCAGGAGGTGACAAGACTGGATGTGAGTGATGGTCACAGGCATCCAAGGAAGGTGGGGTGCTCAGGAGATGATGGGGATGCTGGGCCAGATTTGTGACATGGCCCAGGAGGAGATGGAGTAGGAATGCTCCCAAGCACTTTATAGGGCTTTCTGGACACTTGATTCAGAATTTAGATGGGGACCTCTCCATAGCTTACACTTTTTCTTTTCTTTTCGAGATGGAATCTCACTCTGTCACCCAGGCTGGAGCACAGTGGCATGATCTCAGCTCACTGCAACCTTCACCTCCCAGGTTCAAGCGATTCTCCTGCCTCAGCCACCTGAGTAGCTGGGATTACAGGCATGCACTACCATACCCGGCTAATTTTTGAATTTTTGGTAGTAACGGGGTTTCACCATGTTGGTCAGGCTGCTCTCGAACTCCTGACCACACGATTCACCCACCTCAGCCTCCTAAAGTGCTGGGATTACAGGCATGAGCCATCGAGCCCAACATTTTTTTTTTTTTAGATAGAGTCTCACTCCTGTTGCCCAGGCTGGAGTGCCATGCCGTGATCTCGGCTCACCACAACCTCCGCCTCCTGGGTTCAAATGATTCTCCTGCCTCAGCCTCCTGATTAGCTGGGATTATAGGCATGTGCCACCACACCTGGCTAATTTTTCTTTTTTTTTTTTCCAAGACAGAGGCTGGCTTTGTTGCCCAGGCTAGAGTGCAGTGGCATGATCTTGGCTCACTACAATGTCCACCTCCCAGTTCAGGCAATTTCCTGCCTCAGCCTCCCAGGTAGCTGGGATTACAGGTGCCTGCCACCACACCCAGCTCATTTTTATATTTGTATATTTTTTTAGTAGAGACGAGGTTTCACTGTGTTGGCCAGGCTGGTCCTGAACTCCTGATATTGTGATCCACCCACCTCAGCCTCCCAAAGTGCTGAGATTACAAGCATGAGCCACCAAGCCAAGCCTACTTTTCTATTTTTAGTAGAGATGGGGTTTCTCCATGTTGGTCAGGCTGGTCTTGAATTCCCGATCTCCAGTGATTCACCCGCCTCAGCTTCCCAAACTGCTGAGATTCCAAGCATGAGCCACCATGCAGGGCCAAAAAAAAATTTTTTTTTTAATTTAAATTTTTATTTATTTATTTATTTATTTTGAGACGGAGTTTCGCTGTTGTTACCCTGACTGGAGTGCAATGGCACGATCTTGGCTCACCGAAACCTCCGCCTTCTGGGTTCAAGCAATTCTCCTGCCTCAGCCTCCTGAGTAGCTGGGACTACAGGCACGCACCACCATGCCCAGCTAATTTTTGTATTTTTAGTAGAGACAGGGTTTCACCATGTTGACCAGGATGGTCTCGATCTCTTGACTCGTGATCCACCCGCCTCAGCCTCCCAAAGTGCTGGGATTATAAGCGTGAGCCACCGCGCCCAGCCTATTTATTTTTTTAATTAAAAAAAATTTTTTTTCCTCAAGGGCATTGCATCCAAAAAAAATTTTTTTAATTATGAAAAGTTTAGGCCAGATGTGGTGGTTCATACCTATAATCCCAGCACTTTGGGAGGATGAGGCAGGTGGATCACTTGAGGTCAGGAGTTCAAGACTAGCATGGCCAACATGGCAAAATCCCATCTCTGCTAAAACTACAAAAACTTGCTGGGCGTGGTGGCACGATCTTGGCTCTCTGCAACCTCCAGTTCAAGCAATTGTTCTGCCTCAGCCTCCCGAGTAGCTGGGGCTACAGGTGTGCACGACCATGCTTGGCTATTTTTTGTATTTTTAATTAGAGACAGGTTTTCACCATGTTGGCCATGATGGTCTCAATCTCCTGACCTTGTGATCGCCTGCCTCGGCCTCCCAAAGTGCTGGGATTACAGCCGTGAGCCACCGTGCTGGCCTCAACTTTTTTTTTTTTTTTTGAGTCAGGGTCTCACTCTGTCACCCAGGCTGGAGTGCATTGGTGCAATTTTGGCTCACTACAGCCTCCATCTCCTGAGTTCAAGCGATTCTCCCACCTCAGTCTCCTGAGAAGCTGAAACTACAGGTGTGTGCCACCACTCCTAATTTTTGCATTTTTTGGTAGAGATGGGGTTTTCCCATGTTGGCTAGGCAGGTCTCAAACTCCTGACCTTTCAGGTGATCCACCTGCTTTGGCCTCCCAAACTGCTGGGAGTATAGGTGTTAGCTACTGCGCCCGGCCCCCTAAATCTTATTAATCCACGTGTCCATATATCAATACATCCATACATACATCCACCAAGCCACCCATCCATCTACTCACCTACTTCCTTACCCATTCATCCTTACACATACCCATCTGCCTATGCATGTCACCACCCACCCATCCATCCACTCATTCACTAATCTAACTGTCTACCCAATCATCTTTCCATCCATCCACCACATCCACCCACCTGCCCACCCATCTGCTTAGCTGGGCATTCATTTATCACAATCAAGAATGATTTGAGCTTCAAGTCAGTGACAAGTAAAAATAAAAATAAGGCCGGGTGCGGTGGCTCAAGCCTGTAATCCCAGCACTTTGGGAGGCCGAGGCAGGTGGATCACAAGGTCAAGAGATCGAGACCATCCAGGTCAACATGGTGAAACCCCGTCTCTACTAAAGATACAAAAAATTAGCTGGGCATGGTGGCGCGTGCCTGTAATCCCAGCTACTCAGGAGGCTGAGGCAGGAGAATTGCCTGAACCCAGGGGGCGGAGGTTGCAGTGAGCTGAGATCGCGCCATTGCACTCCAGCCTGGGTAACGAGTGAAACTCCATCTCAAAAACAAATAAATAAATAAAAATGAAAAAATATTTATGGCCTTTATTTAGCAATGCTCATTTTATACTGGGCATGGGGCTTTCCAGGCATTCTGGAGACAGGATTTGAACCTAGGCCTGCCTATGCTCTACTAATAAGGGCATTCTGTGTGGGCCAAGGACCCAGAGATGAACTCAGTATTGCCCTGTGTTTCAGGGTGTGGGAGTGGGTGAACCCAGGTGCTAAAAGCAGCTTCTTACAACAACTTAGAAGCATGACCTGAAACCCCCTACCTTCTCCTCCCTCAGGAGCCACCTGTGTTCTGGCCCCCAAGTTCTCTGCTTCCTGCTTCTGGGATGATTGCCGGCAGCATGGCGTGACAGTGATCCAGTATGTGGGAGAGCTCCTGCGGTATTTGTGTAACACTCCCCAGGTGAGGCGCTAAGATTAGGGCTCCCTGATGAACACCCAAGTATGAAATCCCAAATGATATACCGGGAAGGTCTCAGGTAAAGATTTAGGCACTGAACTCAAGCAAGTCCCTCAGATAATACACCCCATGCAAGAACCCCCGACAATGAGTTCCACACAAGGGTTCCAACAGTGATTTCTCTGATAGGTGTGCTACCTTGAGCCTCAGTGTCCTCATTTGGAAAACAGGGATAATAATAGCCACTAACCCTATCATGAGAATTTCCATTATAAACTAATTAAAATTAAATTTCCATTAAATTAAACTTCTAGGTAACTACTCCCAGGTAAGACCTCAGATGAGGCCTCCAGTCACCCCTGGTAACTTCCCCCAGGCAAAGCTCTCAGGTCAGCCCTGCAGGTAACCTTCTATTTAAAAGACTCCAATAACTACTCTCATGTAAGAAACCTAGGTAGCTCCCTTAGGTAGAAGTCCCCCATCACCTTCCGGGTAACTCCCAAGGTAAGGACCCAGGACAACACCGCCTCTAGGTAAAGGTCCCAAGGCATGCCCCAAGAGCACCTCCTCCTCACCTTTCTGGGGACATTCCTGTAGCGACAAGAAGACCGGACACACACAGTCCGCCTGGCGATGGGCAATGGACTCCGGGCTGATGTGTGGAAGAACTTCCAGCAGCGCTTTGGTCCTATTCGGATCTGGGAAATGTACGGCTCCACAGAAGGCAACATGGGCTTAGTCAACTATGTGGGGCGCTGCGGGGCCCTGGGCAAGATGAGCTGCCTCCTTCGAGTATGTGCGGGTGACCGGTGTTAAGTTGCCCTGACTGAGGCTGAGCCCACAGGACCTCTATCAATACCTCCACCCTCCACCCAGATGCTGTCCCCCTTTGAGCTGGTGCAGTTCGACATGGTGGCGGAGGAGCCTGTGAGGGACAGTCATGGCTTCTGCATCCCTGTAGGGCTAGGTATGGGGTTTGAGGAGCCCTTCCTGGGTGGCAGGGGTAGTGACCCTCAGTCTTCTCCTTGGCTAGAACAGTCCGCCCAAAACCTTGACATTGGTGCTCACGAGATGCAGGCTTCATCTGGACCCTCAGCCAGTGGCCTGTCTTATCACCTGGGGCCTCTGCCTCAGCTTCTTGGCTCTGCCCCGCTGCCCTGCCTTGATCTCTCGCTCTGATCTGCTGGGTCTCTGGGTGTCCACCTGATTTGTTCTCTTCAGCTTTCTGTGGAAGGCAGCTTTCCAGGCACTGGTCCCTTGTCCTGTACCTTCTGTTAGCGTCTTCTCCCAGGCCTTGCAAGGTCCAGTCTCATCTCACTGCCACCTGTCTCTGGCCGTCTTCCATCCCTTGTTATCCTTTTCCTGTTTCTCATGGGATCCCCGATACCGCCTTCTCTTCTGTCTTTTTCTGTGTTCCTCGTCGCAGTCTCTGAGTCTCTCTCTAATCTTTGGATATTCCTGTCTCCGGCTTTGGATCTGTCCCTGGCAGGGTGCTGGGTGACGAAGAGTCCACCGTTGTTGAAAACGTCTAACAAGGGGCTTGGCTGGTGGGCTCCAGGGGTTCTGGTTCCTGCTCCTACCCCCAGGGGAGTCGGGGCTTCTGCTGACCAAGGTTGCAAGCCACCATCCCTTCGTGGGCTACCGCGGCCCCCGAGAGCTGTCGGAACGGAAGCTGGTGCGCAACGTGCGGCAGTCGGGCGACGTTTACTACAACACCGGGGACGTGCTGGCCATGGACCACGAAGGCTTCCTCTACTTCCGCGACCGCCTCGGGGACACCTTCCGGTCCGAAGCGGGGTTTCTCGGGGCGGGACCACGGAAGCTTTCACGTCCTAGAGGGAGCAAGGCTGAAGAGGCGGGACTTTCCTATCGCAAGAGGGAGGAGCTTGGGGTCACGACTTCCCACGCGAAAGCGAGGCTTCTCGATTTTGGAGGCGGCGGCCCTGACCAGGCCTCCAGATCCCCCAAGGGGGCGGGGCGGGGCGGGGGGAGAGGCGGGGCCTCTCCTTGCTGGGGGCGTGACCACAGGCGCTGGCTCCAACCCCGCAGATGGAAGGGCGAGAACGTGTCCACGCGCGAGGTGGAGGGCGTGTTGTCGCAGGTGGACTTCCTGCAACAGGTTAACGTGTATGGCGTGTGTGTGCCAGGTGCAGATGGTTCTCATTTTAAACTTCAAACAGCTTTGTGGGTGGAGGGTGGTTAGTCCGACTTTGCAGGTGGGAAGTGCTGGTACTTGCCTGACCTCACAGCCAGTGAGCAGAGCTGGGCGGGGCTGGAGAGTCAGCTATGGGCCCTCGAGATGGGTTAGCCGAGAATGACCAGACTGCTCCCTAGGGTGTGAGGGTAAGGTGGGCATGGCTGCCGTGCAGCTAGCCCCCGGCCATACTTTCGACGGGCAGAAGTTGTACCGGCACGTTCGCGCTTGGCTCCCTGCCTACGCTACCCCCCATTTCATCCGCATCCAGGTGAGCCCAGGGTGGCATGGTAGGTGGGTGGAAGATCATCGCGGAGGGATGGGTGTCACAGTGAGAGGACTATGATCACTGCCTTCCAGGACGCTGTGGAGGTCACGAGCACGTTCAAACTGGTGAAGACCCGATTAGTGCGTGAGGGCTTTAACGTAGGGGTCGTGATTGACCCTCTGTTTATACTGGACAACCGGGCCCAGACCTTCCGGCCCCTGACGGCAGAAATGTACCAGGCTGTGTGTGAGGGAACCTGGAGGATCTGACCACCTGGCCAACCCACAAGGGCAAAGATCAAAGCCGGCCACCACCACCCCAACACACTCGGTGTCACTTTCATCCTGGGCCTGCGGCAATCCCAGCCTGGCCATATCCTCAACCTCAGTGGACTGGAAATGGCAGTGGCAGAATAAACTCAAATGTGTTCACAGAAGTCTGTATGTCTGCATGGATGAAGGATCAATGGAGGAGTGCAGGGGCTAGTGCCCTGAAGACCTTACTTGAGGGTCTTCCCTGTCTCCCAGCCAGGAACCTCAGCCTTTGCTGTGGAATGACCCTGTCTGTGTAAGGCCAAGGGTATGGGAGGAGCTGGCCAGCCTCACAGCCGCTCTAATGTAGAGAGATGAAAATCCTGATTCCCTCTGTGGGTCTTCTGTGGCCACTGAAGTAGTGGCTGGGCCTGGGTCACAGTGGGCCAGTGGATGTAGATAATTCCCCTGTACAGGCCGGGCGTGGTGGCTCACGCCTGTAATCTCAGCACTTTGGGAGGCCGAGGTAGGCGGATCACCTGAGGTCAGGAGTTTAAGACCAGCCTGGCCAACATGGTGAAACCCTGTCTTTAAAAAAACAAAACAAAACAAAATTCCCTTGTATAGTGCTATGGATACACAATCTGACAAAGCCTGGAGGGTGCTAGACTGTGGCTAGAAGGCCAAGCAGGAAGTAACTGACGGAGTGGTGTCCCTGGCAGTGTGAACAGCACATACAAAGGCCCTGAGGCAAGTTTAGCAGGTGGGGCACAGCAGGAGCAGAGGTCTCTGGAAAATGGGAGTCTGCACAGTCTCAGGAGTTGGCTGTGCTACTCGAAGCATAGTGGAGATGTAGGTAGGGGTGTATGGGTGCTGAGCCTCTGGCTCAAAGGCCATAAGTGCTTCTTGGAGCTTAGTAGGAACTATAGGTCAGGCTGCAGACACAGGAACAATTGTGCTGGTGCCAGGCCAGTGCTCCAGGGGTTAACTTTGGGAGCACAGCTGGGGCGATGATGGTGACAAAAGGAACCACACAACAGTAACAGGCCATTGGTGGGCAGTGCTGCAGGCTGTGACCTGCCCGTCCCTTGTGTGCACAGCACACACACCCAATGGCAATGGTTTAAGCATACCTGAGAATGGCCCTGTGTAGCAGATGCACCTGAGTGCGGTTCATATTTCCTGGCTAAGGAATCTGGGAACGTCCAACTCAGAGATTCATTCCTTACTTCTGAGAAACACTTGAGCCTTTGGCCTTGTCCCATGGAACGCTGGTGGTGCAGGGGATCCTGGCCTTTCGCTTTCAGTTAAATGAAGGTTGCCTGAGGGGAGAGTGTTAAATGAAAATGCTACATAAACTGCATGTTTTTTTTTTTTTTTTTTTTTTTGAGATGAAGTCTTGCTCTGTTGCCAGGCTGGAGTGCAGTCTTAGCTCACTGCAACCTCTGCCTCCTGGGTTCAAGTGATTCCCCTGCCTCAGCCTCCTGGTGGGACTACAGGTTCACACCACCCCACCTGGTCAATTTTTTGTATTTTAGTAGAGATAGAGTTTCACCATGTTGGCCAGGATGGTCTCCATCTCTTGACCTCGTAATCTGCCCACGTTGGCCTCCCAAAGTGCTGGGATTACAGGTGTAAGCCACCGCGGGCTTTTTGCAAGCAGTTTTCCTGCTCAGCCCACTGTACCTGGACTCTCCCCTGTATCTAAGTCCCCAGGAAAACCCTATTACCTTGTTTGCTGGCTCTTGGTCCCTTCTTCTGTCTCTTGAACCTGGTGCCATCCCCACTGGAGTCAATAGGGGCTTGGCACAATATTGTGCTCTCCTGTGCCTCGGCCTCCTCATCATGCTATGGACCACCGTGAGGACGGAACTAGCCTTCGAAGGGAGCAACGCAGGCAGCACCCCATGTGGGCTGTGGGGCAGCTGGGCTTCACAGAGTTCCTGGTGGCATTTGGGGCTCTTCCTGTCAGTCCTACAGCCTGGAGCTGAGACAGTACCCTTAGAGTCTGTGGTCATTTCAGTTTGGGTCCCACTATGAGAATCTGTTCGTCACTGGTGGTGGCTGTGCACTGTAATTATCTTCTGTGAAGTGATAGTTGTGACTTGCTATTTCTCTGCCCTGCATGGCCAACGGAGCCCCACGTGTTCCCTGAAGAGCCCTCACCCTTTCATACACCTGGACTTGGGTCCAGGCCATCGTGGTCCTCCCCTGCACACAGTAGGTTGTCCAGTTCATTCATATTCCTCTTTATTCCAAGAGAGACTCTGGCCAGGAAGGCAGCTAGAGCTCTGCTATGTGTGAACATAGCAGAGGCCCAGGCATTGCCCCTCTTGGGGAACAGTAGGCAGGGCCAAGTGCATACCAAGGCCTTGGTATCAACTGTGTTCACAGAAGTCTGTGTGTCTCCCAATGAAAGAACAGTGGGGGAGTGCAGGGGCTAGTGTTCCAAAGACCTTATTTTGGGAGTCTTTCCTGCCTTCCCACCAGGGTCCTCAGCTATCCCTGTGGGATAACCCCATCTGGGCTTCCTCCTCCTGTAGCTAGGTTCTCAAGTTCAGTCGCATTCCTATTTCCTTCAGGAGGGACCCTGGCCAAGAAGTGAGCCTGAAGTTGGATGAACATAGCAGCAGAGGTCAGGCTGGTCACCCTTGCTGCTCCTTCAGCTTGCCTTCCCAGATGCACGGTAGGTAGCCATGCTTGAGAAACAAATTCCCTTTGTGTCTACTGAAGCCAGGAGTGATGAGTTCCAAGGCCAGTGAGGCCGATGAGTGGTGTGGGTAGCCAAGCAGCAAGGGAGGCTGAAGATCTGTGGCAACAGAGGTTTGGCCTTTCTGGGCTCAGCTTCCCTGTAGATTATTATTATTATTATTATTAGAGACAGAGGCTTGCTCTGTCGCCCAGGCTACATTGCAATGGTGCAATCTCAGCTCACTGCAATCTCCGCCTCCCAGGTTCAAGCGATTCTGTCTCAGCCTCCCAAGTAGCTGGGATTACAGGCACGTGCCATCATACCTGGCTAATTTTTGTATTTTTAGTAGAGGCAGGGTTTCACCATGTTGGCCAGGCTGGTCTTTAACTCCTGACCTCAGGTGATCCGCCCACCTCAGCCTTCAAGAGTGCTGGGATAACAGGCGTGAGCCATAATGCCAGGCCCAGAAATCAGGATCCTTATTCAGAAACTGTATTATGAAAGTGGAATTTATGTTAAAATTCTAACACACACACGGAGCAGGAGAAACAGAAGCCAACCTTGCTTTCCTGGGTCTTTTGCTGCCCTCCACACTGAGACCTCAAACCCAGCCTCTGCACAGAGGGGTAGGAAGGCACAGTTTTTGAACACCCACCTGAAGCAAGGAGGTCCCAGGAGAGGGAGTGTTGTCAGCCCGGGCCATGACTCAGGGAGAGAGGGAGCCTGATGCTTGGCAGTCACCCCACAGGCACTGGCCAGTCATAGAAGGGAACCCAGACTTCCCTCCAGGAGGAAGGGGCAAGAAGGGAGGAAGCAGCTCCTTTTCCTTACACCCAGGTCTTTTGGGGGAAGGCAGGCCAGGGGAAGGGGACTGGCTTGGGACCCCTTGTTCACTCCAGCATTCCCTGCTACCTCCAGAGTCTTCTGCTGGTGCCCCAGAGGCTGCATCCAGGCTCTGAGAACACTGAGGCCCTGAGAGACTGCACCATCTGGCTGCTCACAGAGCCTCCGGCCGGTGACTCTTAAGATGAATGACCAGCTGCGACTTCCAGTCGAAGGCTCGGCCGCAGTCACTGCAGAAGTGGCGCCGCTGGCCCGTGTGGCTCTTGCGGTGGATGACCAGCTGTGACTTCCAGCTGAAGCTGCACCCGCACTCCTCGCATGGGTAACTCCGGGGGCCTGCGAGTGACCGTCGCGGGTGGCGTGGAAAGGCCAGCTCCCCTTGCGACGGTTTCTCTGTGCCTTCGCCAGTGGCTAGCCCTGGGGACTGTGAACCTGGCCTACTTGTGTGTGTCCGGTGGTGGATGACAAACACTGACTTCCAGTCAAAGCCACGGCCACACTGCTCGCACATGTAGGGCTTCCTGGGGGTGGCGCCTGGCTCCAGTCGCGTCTCTGTGGGTGTGGGCGTAGCGGGTGCTGGTGGTGTCCCTGGGCGCGCAGTGGGGGCAGGAGCTGTGGCCCCAGACGGGCCATCCCAGGCTGCAGGACCTGGGCCCTGGGGTGGCTGGGCCTCTGGGCAGCCTGGCAGACCCTCATTCTCATCTCCTGGGGGCAGGGGCAGACCAGGTGAGTCCCCGAACTCTGCACTTGTGATACTGCCCACCCATCCCTCAGGCTCGTGGCTGAGGGATGCACCCCAATGACTCACGTCCCACCCATCTAGGAGGGATGGTTCAGGCTGCACAGTGTGGGGCACTCACCTGAGCCCAGGTTTCTGCAGACGCCTGCCCCCGTGAGCAGCATCCCCAACTCCGACTGGGCCTGTGCCTCCGGCTGGTGGGTTGGTAACCCTGCCCGGGTGGGAGGCACAGTCAGGCGAGGGATTGGCATGAAGGAGGGATAAGGTGGGTTCCAGTAGGTGACAGGTGTCCCTTTGGAAGGTGAGAGAGCTGGGTAGGGCTGGTACCACAGAGGCCCTGCCCAGCTAGGCCTGCTGCAGGGTGGGTGCAGGCCCCAGGGAGAGGGGCGGGGTGGGGCTGGCTGGTCCTCACCCAGGGAGACCACCGTGCCGTACTTCTCCAGCATCGCGTCCCAGTACAGTTCCTTCTGTGACCGGTCCAGCAGCCCCCACTCCTCCTGCGGACGTGGCCCATCACTGTAGGCACCCTTCCACCCTCTCTTGCCCTGTCTGGTTCATATTATTACCTGGAGCAGCCAGCAGGTTACCTACACCTCATCTGCCCCTCCAGCTGAGGATGATCTTGAGGTAGGTGTTTGTAAGTGCTGGGGTCCTCCTTCAGATCACCTGACCAATGCTGTTGCTAGCACTCACCCCTCCAACTACCCCACCCTGCTGAGAGGGTGGGCTTGGCAGCATCACAGGGACCTGAATGACTTTATCGAGGAGTGAACCCCCTGCCTGGGAGTCAGCCCTCCTTGCCACCTGAGTCCCATCATCTGGGGCTTTACTGGGTTGGGAAAATAATCCTCAAGGACAAGCTGTGGCAAGTCCAGGGGCACGAAGGCAGCAGCTGTGAGGAGCCACAGCTAGACATGGATGGTGCGGGCTGGAGGTGAGGAGCCCGTGGAAAGTGTAGCCTAGCCACTCTCCTCACTTTCTGACTGTGCCATGGGGTTGTGAAGGGAGTCTGGAAAGACTTCTCCACCTTGAAGCACAACTCAACCAGCAATTCTGCTGCTGAAGCTCCCCAGTGGAGTGGCTTAGAAGCAGAGGAGACAGCAGAGGAAAAGGCCTCGCTACCCACACTTGGAAACCAAGTGATCCAGTAGCAGAGACCTCAAGCTGAGCTTCCAGGCCCAACAGGTCACCTCTGAGAAAACCCCTAGTAGAGAAGGGACTTTGGGCATTTTACAGGAAGAGTGTCTCCATCTGTTTCAGGTGCTGGGGGAATCCTGCCACAGCTGGTCTTCTCCCCTCCCCATCTATACACAAAAGTTCAAATCCCCAGGTTCTGGCTCAGGACCTCTGGGAGCAGCAAACCTCCCAACTGACTTCTCTGGAGGTGAGAAAGCCAGGCCTACTAGTTCCAGCCACTCTAAACTGGGTTTCCATGGCTTGGAGCCCACATCCTTTTTTTTGACATGGAGTTTTGCTGGAGTGCAGTGGTGTGATCTTGGCTCACTTCGACCTTTGCCTCCTGGGTTCAAACGATTCTCCTGCCTCAGCCTCCCGAGTACCTGGGATTACAGACGCATGCCACCACACCTGGCTAATTTTTGTATTTTTAGCAGAGACAGGGTTTTACCATATTGGCCAGGTTGGTCTTGAACTCCTGACCTCAGGTGATCTGCCCACCTCAACCTCCCAAAGTGCTGGGATTACAAGCATGAGCCACCTTGCTCTGCCCCAAATCCTTTCAATAACAGATCACCAGTCTTTCCCTGTGCCCCAGGTCCTGTGGGGGGGGGGTACAGCTGCTACACACTCCACTTCTGGGCAGCAAAGAGCCACTAGCTAAGGAGCCTGGAAAACCACAGGGCAGAGGGCAGCCATGGGGACACTCCCTGCCCACACCTACAGCCTACACTTCCCACTTGGAGCTGCTCACCTGAATCCTGGGTGGGTGGAAGGAGGTAGAGCCTGGTTCTTGGTGTCCATGGTGCCCCTCAGGGGACTGAGCTGCAAGTGTAGGGCTGGAGGGTGCTGGAAAGTGGGGCAGATGGGAGGGTGGTGTCAGAGGCTGCCCAGAAGAGCCATGGCAAATGAGGAGCTTCTCTGCTGTGTGACATGGCAAGTAGCCAGCCCTTTGCTCCTGCCTCCCAGGTCCCCATCCCAGACAGGGACATCCACATTCATTTCAAGAGTCCCAGCCTTGACACACCTCTCCTGGGACTCCCACCCGAACCAGGAATGTCCACACTTCTTCCAGGAGCTGCTCATCTCTGGTGGGACCCCAACCTCACCCATTTCCTGTCCATCGACATTGGGCTCCTCCTTCACACTGCAGCTGAGCTGGACAGACCCCTCTATTCTGGTGTCCTGGGGACCCTCCCCAGGAGACTCCACTGTCCCTGAGGGGTGGGGGCTCCCCAATGATTCCTCTGTCTTCTGGGCTGCAGGGAGCACCTCCTGCTTCAAGACATGGGCTGTGATCTGAGGAGAAGAATTAAGTCACAAGGGCTCTAGCCTGGGTCTGTCCCTCCACGAAGCTGATGCCGGCCACACTCACCCAGCCCAACAGCTGCCCAGGGTCATGCTGCAGTCCTTCGACCAGGGCAGCAGCCTCTTCAGGACTGCCTGGCCGCTGACCTCGCACCCAGGCCTGGATCTCAGGAGGCAGTGTGCCCAGGAACTGCTCCAGAACCAGCATGTCCAGCATCTGCTCCTTGGAGTGTGCCTCAGGCTGCAGCCACTGGTGACACAGCTCACGCAGCCGGGCCAGGGCTTCTCGGGGACCTGCCACCTCCTGGTAGCAGAACCCTCGGAAGCGGAGGCGGGCAGTCTCAGGCTCCTCGAGGGTGGTCTCTGGGTCCATGAGGGGCAGGCATGGGGGATCCAGAGGGGATGGCATTCTTGTTCACGGGGGTGTCTTGGAGTCAAGATGGGTCTACAGAAAAGGAAGGGTCCAAGTGTCAGCCAAGAGAATCTGGCCAGGGGAAGGCAGACACCAGGCCCAGCCCAGGGGGCTGAGACCAGGACCAAGTGTACTCTGAGGTCAGAGGAGGTAAGGCCAAGAAGCTTCATGGAAAGATAAGGGTCAGAGGAGCTAAATAATGATGGCAAATGAGAGCTGGAGGAAGCCTGGGGGACAAATCCTTGGAGGCAAGGTGTCCAGGGAGCTTCCAGGAAATTGCAAACAGTTAGGTCCAGGGGGACTGCTGGGAGATGACGGTAAATAGATGGATAAGGACAATCATCGCAGGGTTCCAGGGCCAGGCTGGGGAGCCACAGGCAGTGCTTAGCAGAGGTGCGAGGGGAGTGGTCAGCTGGGCATGTGGGGCTGTGATCCAGGGTGAGTGGGATCCCTGAGGAAGAGGCAGCAGGTGGAAAGCGGAGCCGGGCTGTCATGTATGGGGGCGAGTCTCCCTCCACAATCTCGGGGACGTTGAGTGAGCGGGACATCCTTAAGACTGGCCCCGGGGAGCGATCACGTAAGGCCGTAGGTACTACAGGGCAAGGCAGGGGCTCATGTGGACCCCGTGCTCGCTGACCACAGCGACCTGTGGATGACTCACACTGCCTGGGCCCATGCACGTAAAAACGGAAAGCAACAAGAAAAACGGAGCCGACCGGGCGCGGTGGCTCACGCCTGTAATCCCAGCACTTTGGGAGGCCGAGGTGGGTGGATCACGAGGTCAAGAGATCGAAACCATCCTGGTCAACATGGTGAAACCCCGTCTCTACTAAAAATACAAAAAATTAGCTGGGCGTGGTGGCGCATGCCTATAATCCCAGCTACTCGGGAGGCTGAGGCAGGAGAATTGCCTGAACCCAGGAGGCGGGGGTTGCGGTGAGCCGAGATGGCGCCATTGCACTCCAGCCTGGGTCACAAGAGCGAAACTCCGTCTCAAAAAATAAAAAATAAATAAATAAATAAAGGGAAACGGAGCCAGAGCTCCACGCTGCGTGGAGTCGAGGATGGGCACAGCTTCCCCGGCCTGAAGGTCCGGAGTGAAATACGCCCACCTGGAGGGGCCTAGACCAGGCCTGACACGTGGCCTATCGGAAGGATGCTCGAACTTCGGGATCTATCCCCCAAAAGGGAAGAGAACAGAGGGGCGTTCGCGAGGACGCGCCCGGCCTCGGCCACCCGGAACGGTGTTGAGGGGAGGAAAGGCCGGTGCGAAGGCTGAGGTGACGCGCGGGGCGGGTAGGGAGGTGGGCGGGCCCTCCAGGGCGCCGAGAGCAGGAGTCCTGCAGGCCCCAGAGGGCGGCCCCAAACCCTCCCACCGGGTAGAAAGGCCGCGCCCCGCTCAGGCAGCCTGCGCTCACCTCAACCCCGGAGCCGTTGCTGGGAGGCCGCTTCCCGGAAGTGGCGCCGCGCAATCCGGGGCGCCTCAGCCGGGTGTTGCCCCGGCGACGCCGCGCTGACCAATCCCGCGCCTGCAACGAAGGCACCGCCCACGCCCTTTAAACTACGTTTCCCATGAGCGTCAGCAAAGAGAGGCGGGACCGTGGCCCCCGGACTCGCATTTGCGGAGGCCTCTAACGCCTGAGAGACGCTCTGTTCCTCTAAGAGGTGCCGCAGTGTTCCAGAGTTATATGGGTACCCTCCGCTCTGGGAGCAGCTCTCCTTTCCCACGTTATAAACCTGCGCCTCTGTATCCTGGCCCGGTTCCTATTGGCAGGTGAGGGGAGAGGCGGGAGGTTTTGCCCAATGAGAGGTGGCGCTTGCCTGGCCCCGCCCCCACGACGTTCCGCTCGACCAGCCCCCAGATAACGGCCAGTGCATAGCCGCCAGGCTCCAGCTGTTCTCATGACGTCAGGAGCGTTTCCTCGACTTCCGAGGAGGCCGGAAATGGTGGCCCAGTGGTCTCCTGGGTCGAGTAGTTAGTTCGCTGAGACTCTTTCCAAGTGGTCCAGGGAGAGGCAGGGTCGGGCGTGGACCACCACCTGAGCTTGGGCCTTCTCCCTCCTGGAGGCTGCGGGGGGGGCTGCTTTGACCTCTGTTAAGCGCCCTGCGGTCGCGCGGGGGCAACAGCGACCCTCAAGAGGTACCGACGGTTGTGACCGCAGTCTCTGACGTCTTCAGAGGTCGGTCCTGCAAAGTCGGGGGCGGAGGTTTCCCTCCAAGCTGATGGGACGTGCTCCACCGTTTATTTACCTTTTATTTAATATGGGGAGAACTAGACAGGGTGCCACTAGTTTCTCCCAATAAGCAGTGTTACAGTTTTCTAAATCTGTGGGATCAGTTTTGTTTCCACACTGAAAATGGCCGAGCCATGACTTGTTATCAGTCCTAAATTACACCGCCTGTTTTGCTTTCTTTGGATACCTGGGAATCTTTGCTGCCTGCTCTGGATGCAGAGCAGTGGTCTTAATCACAGGTTGGAAACACAGCACATGCGTGGTGGGACTTGTCAACTCTGAGCTTTCCAGAGGCCTCCGCAGGTTGTTTTTGGGGATGGGGAGCTTAGGCTTTTTCTCTGGGACTGTGCAGATTCCCAGGAAAAAAACAAAACAAAAAAAACAACTTTTACCCTCCACCAGGTGGGGAGAGCATGGGGTCGATAAGGGCTTCTTCAGTAGCTGTTCCCCAGGCAGCTTTGTTACAGGTCTCCCGAATCTGGGCTGCTGATTCTCTCAGCCTTCTGCTGTTCTGCCGTCAGCCGGCTGGCAACTCTCTCCACTTCCCCAAGCGGCCACGCAGTATCTGGCCTGCCCTAACTTAGTGACGGCTCCCATCCACTTCTAGCTCAGGAATGCCGTTGCTGCTGACTCATCTTCCACCGCTCCCCTCTGTGGTTTCAGTGGATTTCTAAGTCCAGTGAGATGTATGTGTTCGGTCTGACCTTTTGACCTAGAAGCCCAGGGACACTTCTACGGTCATTGCCTATTCAGGATTAAGAGCAGAGAGTGAGGCTGGATGGAGGTCAGCTAAGGGGCCAAGACCTGGGTGGAGGCAGGAGCCTAAGTTGGCGGCCACCGACCAGTCATGGGTTTAGGGAGGGCAAGATTGGAGGAGGGTGGACAAACTGAGAGACAACAGGGACACAAGCAGACGTGGAAAAGAGCCTGAGAGAGGGAAAGCTGGTGGGAAGACAAGGTAGGGCACTGAGCCCAGCCTAAGGGGTCAGGCAGGCGCAGGGCAGAAACTTTAGCGTCTGTCAAAGGCACAGAAATGACTTCATGTGACTCTCTGGGTATGCACTTGTTTGACAGATGCTTTTGCTCCTGATTCCCATGACCTCCCCAGAAAAGTCCTCTTTCAGACAGGGAAGGGTTTTCTGCATTTCACAGCTCTGCAGACTTAGTGGGAACAGTGGTTCAGGGACTTACTGGGATCCTGGAGGTCCGAGTCTTGCAGGCTCTGGGAGAGCTGGGTCCTGCATGCCTCCACTCCCTGCAGGAACCTGTGAGGTTTCACAGGTGGAGTATCAAGCAGGTGGGGCCTGAGTTTCTGCTCTATATGTATAGAGTGGGATCGCTGCAAGGCTTTGTAAGCCATGGGATGGAGCAACCACTGGTCTGGAGTCAACTTTGCAGGGTCATCACATATGGCCACACCCTCTACCTCAGCAGCAGGGGAACACAGCCCTGCCTTGGTTTCTCCACCTACCATCATCCCATCACCAGGATCCACCAGGACTCATCACCTAACAGAGCTGCTGCTCCAGGCAGCCCCACCCCATCCCACTTTATCCACTTCTGGCTCCCCCAACCCACCTCTGGCCCTGAAAAGGATACAGGTATCCCACTCCCTCACTGGACCGCAGACAGGCTGCATCTCTACTCTGTGGCCTCTTGAGGGTGCCCAGGTTGAAGCCAAGTCCAGGAACTTCTGTGATGATGACACACGCTGATGGCATGTCAGGGTATGTTCAATATCATCTGCATTGTATGAGGGTGAAATGGGTGTTGGGTTGCTACTGTTCACACAAATGTTTAAAAAGAAAGCTTTATCAGAGAAGCTCTTTGAACTGTTACTAAAAACTGAACCATGCTCTGGAGTAGGGACAAGCTGTGCTGTGGCAGTCCAAACAGCTGTACAGGAAACTGCAACACCTACTCCGAGTTGCAGACACTAGTCTTTTTTTTTTTTCCCATTAGAGACCTTGAATTTCCTTGGAGGTGACGCTCCAGGTAAGGACAGGGCCTGGTCTGCTGAAGGCCACAGGAAGCAAATGGTCCCCAGTCCACCCTTCTGTCTCTGCCATGCAGGGCCATTAAACTGGGGTGGGGAGGTCCTCAGGAGGATGTCATGCATGGCCTTAGGTAATGGCAAGGCATTCCTATTCAGTTCTCTGTCCAGCCTCCAACTGAGGAGGGATAATGGGGGTAAGGTGAGACGGGGGTGTGGGGAAGTGGCCACCAAACCCAGCAAAAATGAGCAGCTTCATCTTGTCTGAAGTTAACATTGTCCCCTCAGAAGTAAAGGCTCCTCATCACATCGATTTTGGTAAACAAGTCAGTGACAGGCCTTGGCCAAGCTGAGACTTGGACCAAAACCTGAGCAAGTGCCACTGGAAAGCCATCATCCTAGCTCTGTCCTTCCAATGCTGAGAGCCACATGTTCCCCCATGGGCATCCCTATCCTGAGTCGGCTGTGTGTGTGAAGCCAGGACAGGCTTTCACACCTGGCCACAGTGCAGCCCAGGAGATGAGGTATCTGGACGCTGGGTCAGTCCACCTGGGCTTGGGTCCCAGCTCCGCTGTGTGCCATGGCAACTCACCTCCACCTCTGTGTCCCTCAGTTTCCTCATCTTCCAAGGGGGGATACCAGCCACAGCAGCCATCTCTCAGGGATTCAAGAGAAATTTCCCAGCACTTAGGACAGGAGCTGACAGTGAGCACCTGTTGGCTCTCATTAGGACCCCACCTGTCAGTATCTGAAAACATGATGTTCAGTAGACCCAAACCTTTTCTTTTTCCCCAGAGGGGGTGGCTGACACTCTGAGCTCACACCCTGATCCCATCACTTGTGGTCTCCTGTCTGCTAGGCTGGCCCCTAGGAAGCCTTGGATGAACAGAGGCAGTGGTAATGGGTGGGGGCGGGGGGAGGAGAATGCCCTCAGCATCTATCCAGCACCTAGTTTGTGTGCAGATAAGTTTCTCTGGATCACACAACCTATGTCCGCATGCCCCTCACCTTAGCATCCACTGTCATAACACATGAAGCAATACCACATTGCAGCGCTGTGACTGTCAGCCTCCTGCTGGTTCTGAATAGTCCCGGCCCCACTAGACTTTCAGCCACCATGTCCTCCCGCTGATATTTCTACAGTGCTACTTCTTTGGGGATGCAGATACTGGCAAATCCTGTCCCCACGTGCAAATGAAATCACAGCCAAAGGGGCTCCTTTGTCCCTGACTAGCAAGTACAAGGCTTTTTCTCTGCTGTGGATCTGCAGAGGACATATGCCCTTTAGCTGTGGAAGGGATTCACAGAAGGCCAGGGCTGCAACCTGTGACCTCAGACCTCCGCTGGCTCCGAGACTGCGGCTGGGCCCAAGGCGGGAGTGGGCTCGCTTTCCTTCGCTGGGGCACCTTCTGATGCCCCAGAAACAGACCTGGCCTGGGGCTGCAGGCCGGCCCTGGATCGCCGGGCGGTCTTCTCACCGGTATGGATCCTCTGGTGGTGGAAGAGGGCCGGCCGCTCACGGAAGGCGCGACCACACTGCGTGCACACGAAGGGCTTCTCGCCCGTGTGAATGCGCCGGTGGCTCAGCAGCACAGCGCCCTTGGCGAAGGCCTTGCCGCAGTCCCCACAGCGGAAGGGCCGCTCGCCCGTGTGCAGAAGCTGGTGCTGGGTCAGGTTGGAGCTGTGGCTGAAGGCGCGGCCACACTGTGCGCAGGCGAAGGGCTTCTCGCCCGTGTGCACACGCTGGTGCTTAAACAGCGAGGAGCCCTGGCTGAAGGCGGCGCCGCAGAGCGCGCACACGAAGGGCTTCTCGCCCGTGTGCGTGCGCTCGTGCTGGATCAAGTGCGAGTTGCGGCAGAAGCGGCGGCCACACTGTGCACAGGCATAGGGACGCCCGCCCGCGTGTATCTTGCGGTGCTGGCTGAGGTTGGAGCCGTGGCTGAAGGCCTTGCCGCACTCGGAGCAGCGGAAGGACTTCTCGGCCGTGTGGATGCGCTGGTGCCGCACCAGTGAGGAGCTGTGCCTGAAGGCCTTGCCACACGCGGGGCACGCGTAGGGCGTCTCGCCGCTGTGGATGCGCTGGTGCTGCGTCAGGTGCGACGTCTGGCTGAAGGCCTTGCCGCACTGGGAGCACTCGTAGGGCCGCTCCCCCGTGTGGGTGCGTAGGTGCTTGAGGAGGTCGGAGCTCTTCACGAACACTTTGCTGCACGCCCTGCATTCGAAGGACTTTTCCCCAGCGTGGAGAGCCTCGCCCAGCTCATCCCAGGTGGAGGGCTCCTGGCCACCGAGGAGTCTCTGAGGCTCCTGCCAAGCCGCACCCATTCTGTGATCCCCCTGACCGCTGGCAGCCTCCAGGTCCAGGGTGTTCCTGAAGGCTCTCCCAGGGGCCTCCTGTGCACATGGCTTCTGCCGCTCGGGCGTCCTGGGCTGCATCCCAGGCACTGGGTGCTCTGTGAGGGTCTCTTCCCTAAGCTGGCCAACCTCAGGAGGCCTGAGCGGGGAGGTCAGTCGCAGGCTGATGCTGGCCTGCCCACTGCCTGAGCCTAGCAGGAGCCTCTCCCAGTAGATCACAGACACCCCCGTGGGTTTTCTCTCCCGAGATGGGGAGGCACCCCGTTGTTGCTGCAGGCCTTGCAGGCCTTCTGTACTGTGGCAGGCACCGGCAATGGGGAAGACACTAGCAGTCATTACGGGTAGGGTATCTGGAAAAGCCCGTTGCCTTGCCGCTTCTCCAGAAACATCTCCATCTTCTGCCAAACCCCAGGAACCTGAAGGTAGAGAAACGGTGGTTGCCTGAGGCGTCCTGTTAGCAGAGGACTAGGGTAGGCTGAGTGGACATGCAAGAGGGAACGTGGGGGCTGGCACAAAAGCTTAGGGGAAAAGTAGAGGTGAGGCTAGCCCTGGGGGTTTGGGGGAAGCATCTTCCCTGACAGCTGTGGCAGTGACTGCAGTGGGAACTCCCATGATCAAGGTGGCAGCCCCCAGACACCCAGGATGTGGGGCTGAGGAAAACAACAGCTGCTGTGTGCCATGTTCATCTCTGCACTGGCTGTTCTGCCCACTCCCTTTCCATTGCTCACCCCCTTCTCCCTTGGTGCCCCCGTCTCGGGCACCCACTCCCCAGCCTGCTCTTGCAATGACCTCCATCCAATGCTCTAGATTGTACTCCTGAATCCTGCTTACCGACAGCCTCTCCCACCACACCACAAGCCCCACAAAAGCAGGACCTGGATCTGCCTGGAATGTAGAGGTTTTGTCTACATTGCCTGGAATGGGCCTGGCCACTGTGAGCACTGAGGAATCGTTTGCTGAACACAAAGATGAATGATGAGTTAAAGAAATGGGCCATTAATCATGGCAGTGACTAGGCCATGGAGGGTTTGAAGCCACACAGCCCAGCTGATGGCAGGACTCTGACCTGGTCTCACCATAGCCTGAGGGCCCTTCTGTGTCAAGCCAGCTTCTGTGCCCTTCAAGGGCAGCTAAGGCTACAGCCTCCAGGAGAGGTTGATGATGGAAGAGAAGTGAATCGGGTGGGAGGTAGGTGAGGAGGGTGCTTCCTGGGAGTATGGGAAGCAGGGACAGAGGCATGGCCACAGGTTGGTCCCAAATTCACCCCACCCTGAGCTCCCACTCACCAGGGTTGCGCCTCCTGTGGGTGTTCCTGGACATGGTCATGTCCGTTTCACTAGGAACCCAGGGCTCCTCACCACGCTCGAGTTGGATGACCACACGAGGTCGAGAGGTGGAGAGTCCTGTGAGGAGGTGGTGTAGGTTAGAGTCAAGCCCCAGGTCAAGACAACCCACCTCCTAACAGAGGGCAGGAGTCAAGGCTTCATAGAAATAGAAAACGTCATCTGTGCAACCAGGAGAATCTAAAGATGGCACAGGGCAAGGGTCTGACAGGAATAGCTCATTCATTGCCAGGGCAGCAACTGTGTCCAGAGCACCAAAGGAAGGGGACTGAGCCCAGGCACCGAGAGGCCACAGCTGGACAGGGCCACAGGGAGTGGCTGAGCCAACCAGACTGCATGTCTACATATATGTGTGTGTGTGTGTGTGTGTGTGTATACACACATGTATATATATATAAAATGGGACCAGCCCCCTATTATTCCACGTGGCCCCTGGCTGCAAGGTATGGGCCTGCTCATCAGCCACCGGGGAGGTGAGGGGCAGTCCTGGCCAGTCAGCTTGTCATCAATAGCCCATTTCATGGAGTATCCAGGGCCTTACCCAGTGAGGCCACAAGTGCGAAGTTGTCCAGCATCACACGGCGGTACAGGGCCCTCTGGGCTGTGTCCAGGAGCCCCCACTCCTCCTGGGAGAAGTACACAGCCACATCCTCGAAGGCCATCTGGTCCTAAAAGGGCAGGGAGGGGAAGATAGGCATGGTCTAAAACTGGGTCATCCAAGCTTTTGGCTTCCCAGGCCACACTGAAAGAATTGTCTTGGGCAACACATAAAATACACTAATACTAATAACAGCTGATGAGCTAAACAAAAAAAAAATTGCAAAAATATCTCACGTTTTAAGAAAGTTTAAGAATTTGTTCTGGGCCACATTCAAAGCCATCCTGGGCTGGGGGTTGGACAAGCTTGGTTTAAGGTATGATTGTGAGCCAGGATCAAGTGCCCCATCCCAACAGCCACCTCCCATGATGTCCCTCAGACTCTCACCCTCCTTCCCTGGGTTCTGTGCCCACTATCTTCAGATGGCACTTCCCTCACATGTCTGGGACCCCTCCCCTCTTCCCTTCCTGTCCACATCTTAGCCTCCCCACTGGCCAGTGCATACACAAGTCTAGAGCAAGTCCTGGCTGGGCCCTCAGTCGCCACCCCAAGAGCAGCTGAAGGTGTCCACTCATGACTCAGTATGACTGCTCATGACGCTCCTCAGATGTGCCCTTTCTGCTCTTGTAACAATAAACTGTAAGTCCCAGCTGGGGCTTCCCAGGAATGTCCATCACTGGTAACCTCCCCTGCTAAGCCTGCTTGCCTGACATTTCCAGGCTGCTCATGCAGCCTGAGACTGGATGATTCTTACCAGTAGCCACAGGGCAGCATCCCAAGAACCTGTGAACTCAATCCCTTCTTCCTTCCACAGGGTACCCCCTATATTTCTTTCCCTCTCTGTTGCCTCCCTCCCCTCCTCAGCTGCCTCCCCTCCTCCCCTTCCCCCATAGCCCCAAGCATCCCAGCTGGTCTTCTTTATCCTCAAGCCATAACTGCCCACACCTGGCTGAGTGTCTACCCACTCCTCAGTTCAATTCATAGGCCCTGTCCACAGCCTAGGACACCAACAACGTCAGATCCAGTGACATGACCAACCTGGGACATCCCAGACTCCTGATCTTTCCCCTGGAGGAAACCTGCCTTCCCTTTAATCCTCCTTTCTGTTTACAGCAGCTCCCTTCTTCCAGGCGCTCAGGCTGAACAACATGGGGTAGTTCTTCAGCCACCCCACATGTGATGCATCCGCAGATGCACCTGGAATTCACCTGATGTCACCCCTACAGCTGCCTAGACAGGTTCTTCCATTCATGCCGACACGCCTGCACGTCTGTTCTCCACGCGGCAAACGGTGGAACCATTTTAAAACCCCAACTCAGAGGATGTCCTGGTTCTGTTCAAAACCTTCCACGCCTCCCGACGTCCTCGAGATAAAGCCCACCTCTTCGCCCGCTACTGCAGCCACACACGTCCCATCTTCTCCCGCCCAGAAGCACCTGGGCTCGAGCTCCCCTCCCAGGTTTTGCACACTCCGGACTGTCCCCTCCGAGCTTCCTTCAGGATTTCAGCCGCTTGGCTGCCGGAAGTCGGGAGCCCACTGGTGCCCTGGACACCGGGGTTTGCACTGACCCCCTAACCACCCGGGGCAGGGAGAGGAAATACGACGAGGCGAGGTCTAGAAAGGGGCCTCCCTCCGTGGGGTCGTGGTCTGTGGCAGCAGGGGCTCCCCCGCCTCCCCGGCGCGGGCTTGTCAGCGCCGCCGCCGCGGCGGAACCCGCAACTGGGAGGGAAGAAAGGCGTGGACCACCCGGCACCGCCATCCCCACCCGCAGCATCGCCGGGACACCCCGGGCCTCGGCCTCCCCGGCTGTCAAGGACGCGGAACGCCCAGCGCGCAGCCTCCCGGGCTGCCGTACGGCGGGAGAGCGCATTGCTCCCGCTGCGGCCGACAGCCCCCGGAACGCCCACGACGCGCTGAGAAACAGAGGTTTAGGGGGCGCGGCCGGCGACCGGCGCCCTGGGTCACGACGCGTGCGCAGGGCGGGCCCGACGCGGGCCCTCAGCCAGTACCTTCCTCGCCGCCCGCCTCGGGCCCCGGGAACCTCCTGGAAACCGGCCCCAACCCGCGGGCCCCGGCCCAGACCACCGGTGTGGCCTGACGCGAGCAGCGAAGTGACAGCCCCGCCGCCGGAAGTCCAGCCCTCCGGTTCTCATTGGCCCAATGCACGCCGCGGATGCCTGCGCGCAGCCTTCGGGGTCATGTGGTTCCCGCCAGTTTCTCGCCGTAGAGGCGGGGCCCTTACCGGTCTCCATGGCAACGTCCAAGCGCCGCTGCGCGGGGCGCTGGGAAATGGAGTTACGTGGCTGCCACGGGCTTTCAAGGTCTCGGTGGCGCTGGTGGGTAGTCCTGCCTCCGGGTTACGGGTTCCCGGCGCCCACCCAAGCAGCCCCGAGACTAGACCCTGCAGGTACGAAAGCAGAAACTGCCAAGGTTCCAGAAGGCAACACCAGCGGGGAGCACGGGAGAGAAAACGCACCGCGTAGGGCAGGTGTGGGTGGAGGAGTCGTTGCCTGGAGCTCTGGGTTCCCTTCCCAGCTCTGTCTCTCACCGACTGTGCGTACTGGGCATGGGTTTGACTTCTGTCTGTGTCAGTGTCCCGTAAATGTTTAAGGTGTTTTTTTGTTTTTTTTTGAGACGTAGTATTGCTCTTGTCGCCCAGGTTGGAGGGCAGTGGCACAATCTCGGCTCACTGCAACCTCCACCTCCCGGGTTCTAGTGATTCTCCTGCCTCAGCCTCCAGAGTCGCTGGGATTACCACACCTGGCTAATTTTTGTATTTTTAGTAGACACGGGGTTTGGCCATGTTGGTCTCAAACTCCTGACCTCGTGATCCGCCTGCCTCAGCCTCCCAAAGTGCTGAGATTACACGTGTGGACCACCGCGACCGGCCTAAGGTCAGTTTCTCTTTTTTTTTTTTTTTTTTTTTGAGACAGAGTTTCCCCCTTGTTACCCAGGCTGGAGTGCAATGGCGCGATCTCGGCTCACCGCAACCTCCGCCTCCTGGGTTCAGGTGATTCTCCTGCTTCAGCCTCTCGAGTAGCTGGGATTACAGGCACGTGCCACCATGCTCAGCTAATTTCTTGTATTTTTAGTAGAGACGGGGTTTCACCACGTTGACCAGGATGGTCTCGATCTCTTGACCTCGTGATCCACCCGCCTTGGCCTCCCAAAGTGTTGGGATTACAGGCATGAGAATTCTCAGCCTGTAAGCCTGTATTTGTCTTGAGTCTGTGATTGTTTTTGGAGGCTTGCCCAAGGCGTCTGTTTTCCTTGTAATTTGGATGGGCAGAAGGTACTTCCCCAGGCTTGCTTGTCCTTAGACCATCTAGTTCTTGTCTGGCCCCACACATCACAATATTGACTTTTTTCCTTTTTTCTTGGAACCAATTTAAGTGTTTGTTTTGTTTTGATTTTTTTTTTGACAGGATCTTGCTCTGTTGCCAATGCTGGAGTGCAGTGGCACGATCTAGGCTCACTGCAACCTCGGCCTCCAGCTTCAAGTGATCCTCCTGACTCAGCCTCTCTACTAGGTGGGACCACAGGTGTGCACCACCACGCCCGGCTAATTTTTGTATTTTTAGTAGAGACGGGGTTTCACCATGTTTGACAGGCTGGTCTTGAACTCCTGACCTCAGGAGTTTGTCTTGTTTTTGGGAACTGCAGACAATTCTCAGGTGTGAAATTTCTTAATTCTTTTTGCCTCCCTCCCTCTATACCTACCTCCATCTATAACTCTCTGTCGACTGTCAGCTATAACTGTCCACCTAACTGATTCTACTTGTAAATCCTTGTAGGGCAAGAAGGCTCATCATGTTTGGAATGTTTTAATATACACTTTGTTACTTTGAAATAATTTAAACTTTTTTTCTTTTTTTTGAGACAGCATCTTGCTCTGTCACCCGGGCTGGAGTGGAGTGGCACAATCTTGGCTCACTGCAATCTCTGCCTCCTGGGTTCAAGAGATTCTTGTGGCTCAGCCTCCCGAATAGCTGAAATTACAGGTACATGCTACCACACCCAGCTAATTTTTTGTATTTTTAGTAGAGACAAGGTTTTACCATGTTGGTAGGGCTGGTCTCGAACTCCACTCCTCAAGTGATCTGCCTGAATCTCAGCTCACTGCAACCTCTGCCTCCCACTTCAAGTGATTCTCCTGCCTCAGATTCCCAAGTAGCTGGGACTACAGGCACACACCACCATGCTCAGCTAATTTGTGTCTTTCTTAGTAGAGACGGGGTTTCACTGTGTTGGCCAGGATGGTCTCGATCTCTTGACCTCGTGATCCACCCGCCTCAGCTGCCAAAAGTGTTGGGATTACAGGCCTGAGCCACCGTGCCCAGTGCTGAGTGATATTTTCTAATACATTTTCCACTTCTCATCCTGGTTTGAACAACAAGATGACTGGTATATGGTATGCTATCAGTCACAATTATGATTATTATGTTGAGTTTTCAGCCACAAAAAAATAAAATGACCATTTTTTTTTTTTTTTTTTACCATCACATCTTTAACCATGGCCAATTTGTTTTGTCCTCTTCCTTCCTGGGGAGTGGGACAGCTTCAGTTAGCGATCTGCAATGATTGAAGATGTCGACTCAAGCAGGGCTGCATTTTTTAAAACTGAAAAATATAGGCCGGGTGCGGTGGCTCACGCCTGTAATCCCAGCACTTTGGGAGGCCGAGGCAGGCAGATCACGAGGTCAGGAGTTCGAGACCAGCCTGACCAACATGATGGAAACCTCTTCTATGTAAAAAGTGACACAGTTGAAAGGCAGAGCATCTAGCACTTTAAAAATCAAGAATCCCACTTTTTTTTTTTGAAATGGAGTTTCGCTGTTGTTACCCAGACTGGAGTGCAATGGCACGATCTCGGCTCACCGCAACCTCCGCCTTCTGGGTTTAAGCAATTCTGCCTCAGCCTACTGAGTAGCTGGGACTACAGGTGTGCACCACCATGCCCAGCTAATTTTTGTATTTTTAGTAGAGATGGAGTTTCACCTTGTTGACCAGGATGGTCTCGATCTCTTGACCTCGTGATCCACCCGCTTCAGCCTCCCAAAGTGCTGGGATTATATGCGTGAGCCACCACGCCCGGCTGAATCCCACTTTTATATGGAATCTTGAGTCCCTCACAAGATGGAAATACCATAGGACAGGGCTGTGCTTCCACAGTGCACCTCACTGCATGGACATTCCCTGAGGCTCGTGGGAGACCTAGCACCAATTAGCCCACTCTGTGATCAGCCCATCTCCGACAGGATTCTGATCCCTTGGTGATGAGTGTTTCTATAAGTCTCCAAGTGTTCAAACAATGGTTTTCTTATTTAAACATGCAGAGGAATTAGTAGACCCTGCAGTAATAACCACTCACTGACAGCTGCTATCACCTACCGCCAAAACTGCAGCCCTTGCCAGTAACTTACCAGCCATTACTCACCCAAAGATCATGTTCTTTCATAGAACCCCCCAGGCCAAAACATCAGAGAACTCAATGTAAAAGAGATCAGAGCTTTAGGCTTCAAATAAACTGCCTGCTACTCTAGGACTCCATGAGGAAGACAGAAGACTCCATAGAAGGTATATGTGACACTTTTTCTGTGTTCCTCAGAGGGTCTCAGGGACATTAGAAGACGCTTCCAGATTTCTCTATGTGGTATCAAAGACAGCAAAAGGAAGAAAGAGTAGAAGAAAATGGGAGAACAACTCTTAAATAAACCAATTTAGAGAGATTTTAAGTTTTTGAGAAGGCCAATAAAATTTTACATCATACTAACAAGGAAAGAAGGAAACAGAGGGACCAAACACATTTAAAATGGAGTTTCAGTCAACTGAAAAAAAAAAATTCTGGCTGGGTACGGTGGCTCACGCCTGTAATCAGAGCACTTCGGGAGGCCAAGGCAGGGGCATCATGAGGTCAGGAGATTGAGATCATCCTCACTAACACGGTGAAACCCCATCTCTACTAAAAATACAAAAAATTAGCTGGGCGTGATGACAGGTGCCTGTAGTCCCAGCTACTCAGGAGGCTGAGGCAGGAGAATCGCTTGAACATGGGAGACGGAGGTTGCAGTGAGCTAAGATCGCACCACTGCACCCCAGCTTGGACAACAGAGCTAAATTCCATCTCAAAAAAAAAAAAATTCCCAGAAACAGGATCCAAATGAGAAAAAGTAGAAAGGTTATTTTTACTTAAAAAAATTATAAATATATAATTTTTATGTAATTATAAATATCTAATTTTTTTTTTTGAGACGGAGCTTCGCTGTTGTTACCCAGACTGGAGTGCAATGGCAGGATCTCGGCTCACCGCAACCTCCGCCTTCTGGGTTCAAGCAATTATCCTGCCTCAGACTGCCAAGTAGCTGGGACTACAGGTGCGCACCACCATGCCCAGCTAATTTTTGTATTTTTAGTAGAGACAGGGTTTCACCATATTGACCAGGATGGTCTCGATCTCTTGACCTCATGATCCACCCACCTCGGCCTCCCAAAGTGCTGGGATTACAGGCGTGAGCCACCGCGCCCGGCCCGATCCTCTTTTCTTTATATATTACCCAGCCTTAGGTGTTCCTTTACGGTGACACAAAACAGACTAATACCAGAACTCCCCCTCATGCACCTTTCAGTTTGAAACAGAAATTGGTTACCACTGAAAAGACAAGACTGAGTTACAAGCAGTAGGGAACCACTGCAACTTTAAAATCATGGTACGTAGGCAGGCACGGTGGCTCACGCCTGTCATCCCAGCACTTCAGGAGAACAACATGGGCTGATCACTTGAGGTCAGTTTGAGACCTGCCTGACTAACATGGTAAAACCTCGTCTCTACTAAAAATACCAAAATTAGCCAGGTGTATTAGTGGAAGCCTGCAATCCCAGCTACTCAAGGTGCTGAGGCAAAAGAATGGCTTCAACTCAGGAGGCGGAGCCGAGATTGCCCCACTGCACTCCAGCCTGGGCAACAGACAGACACTGTCTCAACAAACAAACAAACAGACATGGTGGCTCACACCTGTAATCCCAGCACTTTGGGAGGCCGAGGTGGATGGATCACCTGAGGTCGGGAGTTTGAGACCAGCCTGACCAACATGGAGAAACCCTGGCTCTACTAAAAATACAAAATTAGCTTGGTGTGGTGGCGCATGTCTGTAATCCCAGCTACTCAGGAGGCTGAGACAGAAGAATCACTTGAACCCAGGAGGTGGAGGTTGCAGTGAGTTGAGATCATGACATTATACTCCAGCCTGGACAACAAGAGCAAAACTACATCTCAAAAAAAAAAAAATGAACCATGCCCTGGAATAGAGACAGGAGGCTGTGTTGTAGGGGTCCACACTACTGTCAAGGAAACTACATCTATTTTAAGTTGCAAATGCTCATCTTTTAATTTTTTCCATTTAAAAGACCATTAATTTCCTTGACGGTAAGGTCCTAGGTAGGGATGGGGTGTAGTAGGCTTAAGGCCACAGGAAGCAAATGGCCCCCAGCCCACCCTTCTGTCTCTGCCATACAGGGCCATTACACTGGGGTGGGGAGGTCCCCAGGAGGGTGTCATGCACGGCCTTAGGTAATGGCAAGTCCTTCCTATTCAGCTCTCTGTTCAGCTTCCTATTCAACCCTCCAATCGAGGAGGCATAATAAGGGTAAGATGAGACAGGGAGTTGGAGGGGGAAGTGGCCACCAAAGCTAGCAAAAATGAGCAGCTCCGCCTTATCTGCTCTGAAGCTACCACTGTCCTTTCAAGTGCAAAGGCTCCTCATCACGTCGACTTTGGTAAATGAGTCAGTGACAGGCCTTGGCCAAGCTGAGACGTGGATGAGAACCTGAACAAGTGCCACTGGAAAACCATCATCCTAGCTCTGTCCTTCCAATGCTGAGAGCCACATGTTCCCCCACGGGCATCCCTCTCCTGAGTTGGCTGTGTGTTTGACCCCAGCCCAGCCCATCACACTTGGCGGACCAGAGCACACACAGCCCAGGAGCCAGCAGCGAGCACAGGCTGACTGTCACTAGGATCCTGCCTGTTGGAATCTGCAAACATGACGCTGAGTAGACCCAAACCTTTTCTTTTTCCCAGAGGAGGAGGCTCACACTCATAGGCCACACCCTGATTCCCAGGCCCCTATAGTCTCCTGTGTGGTGGGATGGCCCCCATGAAGACTTGAACAGAGGCCTGGGGGGCGGGGGGGAATGTCCTCAGTGTCTGTACAGCAGCCAGTTTGTATGCAGATACCCTAAGTTTCTCTGGGCTACCCCTACCCCATGTCTGCATTCCCCTCACTTCAGCATCCAGTATCATAACACATGAAGTAGCAATTCATGGTGCAGTGCTGATTTTGTCAGCCTCCTATGGCTCCAGCTACAGCTCAGTCCCACCAGAGTCCCAGCTGACACGTCCTCGCTCTGATGTTTCTGCAGTGTTACAGCTGGACACGTCAGTCCCTCTGATGTTTCTGCATTACAGCTGGGACTGACATGTCCTCTCTCTGATGCTTCTGTAGTGTTACCTCTTTGGGGATGGAGGTGTGAGCTATGAATACACTGGCAAATCCTGTTCCCACCTGCAAATGGAACCACAGCCAAAGGGTCTCCCTCTTCCCTGACTCTCAGGCACAGGGCTTTTCCCCACTGTGGGTTTGAAGACGACACGGACTCTTTAGCTACGAAAGGGATTCATATAAGGCCAAGAAAGGGTGAGGCTGCAACCTGTGACCTCAGACTTTCGCTGGCTTCAGGATTGGGCTTGGCTTCCCTCCCCGACGCACCTTCCGATGCACCTGAAGGAGTCCTGGCGCGGGGGTGCAGTCTGCTGCTCCGGCATTGGTCTTCTCTGTGGTGTGGATCCTCTGGTGGTGCAAGAGGGCCGGGCGCTCACGGAAGGCATGGTCACACTGCGTGCACACGAAGGGCTTCTCGCCCGTGTGAATGCGCCGGTGGCTCAGCAGCACAGTGCCCTTGGCGAAACCCTTGCCACAGTCCCCACAGCGGAAGGGCCGCTCGCCCGTGTGCAGGAGCTGGTGCTGGGTCAGGTTGGAGCTGCGGCTAAAGGCGCGGCCACACTGTGCGCAGGCGAAAGGCTTCTCGCCCGTGTGCACACGCTGGTGCAAAAAGAGTGAGGAGCCCTGGCTGAAGGCGGCGCCGCAGAGCGCGCACACGAAGGGCTTCTCGCCCGTGTGCGTGCGCTCGTGCTGGATCAGGTGCGAGTTGCGGCAGAAGCGGCGGCCACACTGTGCACAGGCATAGGGACGCCCGCCCGCGTGTATCTTGCGGTGCTGGCTGAGGTTGGAGCCGTGGCTGAAGGCCTTGCCGCACTCGGAGCAGCGGAAGGACTTCTCGGCCGTGTGGATGCGCTGGTGCCGCACCAGTGAGGAGCTGTGCCTGAAGGCCTTGCCACACGCGGGGCACGCGTAGGGCGTCTCGCCGCTGTGGATGCGCTGGTGCTGCGTCAGGTGCGACGTCTGGCTGAAGGCCTTGCCGCACTGGGAGCACTCGTAGGGCCGCTCCCCCGTGTGGGTGCGTAGGTGCTTGAGGAGGTCGGAGCTCTTCACGAACACTTTGCTGCACGCCCTGCATTCGAAGGACTTTTCCCCAGCGTGGAGAGCCTCGCCCAGCTCATCCCAGGTGGAGGGCTCCTGGCCACCGAGGAGTCTCTGAGGCTCCTGCCAAGCCGCACCCATTCTGTGATCCCCCTGACCGCTGGCAGCCTCCAGGTCCAGGGTGTTCCTGAAGGCTCTCCCAGGGGCCTCCGGAGCACACGGCTTCTGACGCTTGGGCACCCTGGACTGACCTCCCCTAGGCACCAGGTGCTCTTTGAGGGTCTTTTCCCTGGGCCGGCTGCTCTTAGGGGGCCTGAGCGGGGAGGTCAGTCGCAGGCTGATGCTGGCCTGGTCCCTGCCGGAGCCTAGCAGGAGCCTCTCCCAGTAGATCACAGACACCCCCGTGGGTTTTCTCTCCCGAGATGGGGAGGCACCCCGTTGTTGCTGCAGGCCTTCTGTACTGTGGCAGGCACCGGCAACAGGGAAGACACTAGCAGTCATCACAGCTGGAGTATCTGGGAAGGCCCCTGGCCATGCTGCTTCTCCAGAAACATCTCCATCCTCTTCCAAATGCCAGGAACCTAAAGGCAGAGAAAGAGTGGTTGTCTGGGGCATCCTGGTTAGGAGAGGACCTGGGTAGGCTGAGTGGACAAGCAAGGGGGAACGTGGGGACTGGCACAAAAGCTTAGGGGAGAAGTAGAGGTGAGGCCAGCCCTGCAAGAGGGGCTGGGGGTTTGGGGGAAGCATCTGCCCTGATGGGTGTGGCACTGACTGCAGTGGGAACTCCCCAGACACCCAGGATGCGGGGCTGAGGAAAACTGGGCAGCTGCTGTGTGACACCCAGGTCTCCATACTGGCTGTTCCACCCAGTCCCTTTCCATAGCTTACTCCCTTCTTCCCTGGTGCCCCTGTCTCGGGCACCGACTCCCCAGACTGCTCTTGCAATGACCTCCATCCAGTGCTCTAGACTGTACTCCCGAATCCTGTTTACCGAGTGCCTCTCCCCATCAGCCCCACCAAGGTAGGACCAGAAGTGTCCTGGTCAAGGCTGTGTCTATAGTTCCTGCAAGCCCTTAAGAAACATTTGATGAGGCCAGGTGTGGTGGCTCATGCCTGTAATCCCAGCACTTTGGGAGACCGAGGTGGGTGGATCACCTGAGGTCGGGACTTCGAGACCAGCCTGACCAACATGGAGAAACCCTGTCTCTAAAAATAAAATAATAAAATAAAAACATCTGATGAGTCCAAAGACGAATAATGGGAGAAATAAATGACCTATCAATCATGGCCACTAGTCATGGAGGATTCAAGGCCACACAGCCCAGGTGAGGTTAGGCCTTTATGTGTGAACCAGTTCGTGTGCCCTTGTAGCTCTCCCTTCAAGGGCACCTACTAAGTCTGCTGCCTCCAGGAGAGGCTGATGATGGAAGAGAAGAAGTAAGGTGGGAGGCAGGAGAGGAGGATTTGTTTCCAGGGTCAGAAAAGCGGGGACAGAGGCTTCGCCACAGGTTGGTCCTGAGTACACCCCACCCTGAGCTTCCACTCACCAGTGGTGCGCCTCCCATAGGCGTTCCTGGCCAAGGTCATGTCCTTCACACTGGGAACCCAGGGGTCCTCACCACGCTCAAGTTGGATGACCACAAGAGGTCGGGAAGTGGAGAGTCCTGTGAGGATGAGAAGCAGGTGAGAGCCCAGCCCCAGCTCAAGACAACCCACCCTTCGAAAGGAGAGCGGGAGTCAGGGCTTTATGGAAATAGTCATCAGTGCAACTGGGAGAATCTAAAGATGGCACAGGGCGAGTCGATCATAGGAGTAGCTCATGCCTCCCCAGAGCAGCACCTGTGCCCAGGACACCAAAGGAAGGGGACAGTGCCCAGGCATGGGAGAGGCCACAGCTGGACAGGGTTGCAGGGAGTGGCTGACCCAACCAAACTACATGTCTACAGGACCAGACCTCTGTTCCACATGGCCCCAGTGAGATCTGATCCTGCTCAGTGGCCAGGAGGGAAGTGAAGAGGAAGTCCTGGCAGGCCAGATGGTCACCAACTGCACTTTCCAGGGAGCACTCGGGCCTTACCAAGTGAGGTCACAAGTGTGAAGTTTTCCAGCATCACATGGCGGTACAGGGCCCTCTGTGCCGTGTCCAGGAGCCCCCACTCCTCCTCGGAGAAGTACACGGCCACATCCTCGAAGGCCATCAGATCCTAAAAGAGCAGGCTGGGCGGGGAGACAGGCCATCAGATCCTAAGAGAGAAAGGCATAGTCTAAGGTATGGATGTGACCCAGGACCAAGCTCCCCATCCCAACAGTCACCTCCCCTGATGTCCCTCCTTCCCTGGGTTCTGCCCCAGGATTATCTTCAAGTGGCACTTCCCTCACCTGTCTGGAACCCCTCTCCTCTGTCCTCTTGGTCCAGGTCCCTGATGGACCTCCCCACTGGCCACCCCTACACAAGCAGGCTAGAGCAAGCCCTGACTGGGCTCTTAGCTGCCACACCAAGGGCGGCTCCAAGTATCCACTCATGTCTCAACGTGACCACTCATGTCCCTCCCCAAATATGTCCTTCTTGCTTTTGTAATAAGCAACTGTGTAAAGTCCCAGCTGTGGATCCCGCACACATGCCCATCACTGAGACCTTCCCCTGCTGTGCTTGCCTGACAGCCTGAGAGAAAGGATGATCCCCACCAGTCATCAAAGGGGAACAGCCCCCAGAACCTGTGAACACACAGGAATTCAATCCCTTCCTTCCTCCACATGGCGCCCCTCTTCTCCTTTCAGTCACCTGCTGAACTCCCCTGATAGCCTCAGGCCTCCCAGCCAGTTTTCTTTACCCTCAAGCTTTAACTGCCCACACCTGGGTCACTCAGTACCGCCTTCCTCAGTCCAGTTCATATGCCCTGTGCTCAGCCCAGGCCACCAACAAGGTCAGGTCTAGTGACATGACCAATCTGCGACATCCCAGACTCCTGATCTTTCCCCTGAAGGAAACCTGCTTTCCCTTCCATTCTCCTTTGTCTAGAGCAGCTCCCTTCTTCCAGGCGCTCCGGGTGAACCACGTGGGGCAGTTAATTCTTCAACCACCCCACACCTGATGCATCCACAGATTCACCAAAATTCACCTGGTCGCCCACCTCCACTGCTGCACAGACTGTGGCAGTAGGTTCTTCCACTCATGCCGATACCCCTGCGTGTCTGTTCTCCACGTAGCAAGCGGTGGAACCTTTTAAAAATTCCAACTCAGGCTGGGCGCTGTGGCTCAAGCCTGTAATCCCAGCACTTTGGGAGGCCGAGGCGGGTGGATCACGAGGTCAAGAGATGGAGACCATCCTGGTCAACATGGTGAAACCCCATCTCTACTAAAGATACAAAAAATTAGCTGGGCATGGTGGCGCGTGCCAGTAATCCCAGCTACTCAGAAGGCTGAGGGAGGAGAATTGCCTGAACCCGGGAGGCGGAGGTTGCGGTGAGCCGAGTTCGTGCCATTGCACTCCAGCCTGGGTAACAAGAGCGAAACTCCGTCTCAAAAAAAAAAAAAAAAAAAGAAAAAAAATTCCAACTCAGGATGTCCTGATTCTGCTCAAAACCTTCTATGTCTCCCGACGTCCTCGAGACAAAGCCCACCACCTCGCCCGCTACTGCAGCCACACACGTCCCCTCTCCCCGGGCTCCACATGGAGGGCTCCGGCTCCGGCTCCCCTCCCAGGTTTTCCACATGCAGGACTCTACCCTCGTAGCTCCCTTCAGGACCTCAGCCTACAGGTGCTTTGAACACAGGGGTCTGCACTGATGCCTCAGGGCAGGAAGAGGAAAGACGACCGGGCGCGAGGTCTAGGAAAGGGCCTCCCTCCGAGGGGGCGCGGTCTGTGGGAGCAGGGGCTCCCCCGCCTCCCCGGCGCGGGTCTGTCAGCGCAGCCACCGAAACCCGCAGCTGGGCGGGGAGACAGGCGTGGACCACCCGGCACCGCCATCGCCGCCCGCACTGTCCCGCGACTGCCCCGTGCGCGCCTCAGCCTCCCCGGTAGTCTTGGGCGCAGAGTGCCCAGTGTGCCCCCTCCGGGGCTTCCACGGCGCCGGAGAACGCGCGGCTCCCGTTGGGGTCCGACTGCCCCCGGGCCGCCCACTCCGCACT